TATTTGTAATCGGTTGAACGTTCATAAAGCTCACACTATCTTGCTCGTCGCGGTAGAAGCCAACCCCAAAGGAAACGTCAGAAGACGCATTTCTTCTTGCAGCAACAAGATTACCAAATCGATTCTGAATCGTCTCAATTTCTTCTTTCATTGACGCAGTCGCATCTGCTAGAAGATAAATGTCTTCTTTGAGTGAGCTAGATACTTCATCGAGAACAACAGTGACCTCTACATCGATATAACCACCAATAGATACTTCGTTTGGGAAAGAAATGAACTCGGGCACTTCCACCGGTCCCTCGGAGGTGGGCCCAATCATCTGCGAAGGAGACGGCGATGCGGAAAAATTCGGCTCATCTGTTTCGACGGCATTCATTTCGGGTGTGATGATGGGTTCTCCGGCTACATTTGAAGTAGCCGGTGAGCTTGACGGAGTAGGTGCTGCTGTGACACTGGGTTCTCCAGAGATAGTAGCAATGGTCGGTGAGCTTGACGGGGTAGGCGCTGCTGTGACACTGGGTTCTCCAGAGATAGTGGCAGTATTCGGTGAGCTTGAAGGGGTAGGTGTCGTTGTAAATGTCGCTGGAACTTCAGTCTCAACAGAAACCATCGGCATGCACTTGTATCCATCTCTGATGCGGGATGAGTCACCTCTTGTTTCGGGTCCGGTGCAATTTTCTATGTAGCACGGTACATTGCTTCTTAAACATGCTATGTATGCGTCTGTCAATGCATTCGGTCCGATATAGCAGACGTCAGGACAAGGTCTTGTTCTCGCGCCGCCGTAGTCATTGTCTTGACGTTGAAAGGAAAAATCGGTTGAGGACTCAATGTTCTTCGATGTGCCTGCCACACACGAAACATAGACGAGGAAGGTGGCAGCGACAAGAGCATACTTCATTTTTGCGGTGAAGACTTGGTCGAAGACGCAGCTTTTCACTGTCAATTGGCACTCAGAATAGTAAATTCTCTAGCGTCGAAGCAGTAGAGACATGCCCTGAGTCTTATACTGGCTCTGCCCTTACCACTAGCGTCGTTCGAAATCCACAGCTTTATGACTCTAGAATGCTTTGTTTACAATTCTTCAGCATGACTGGCTCCAAAACGTATGTAATCAAGCGGTGGTGTTGGAGAAAGATGCACGGAGATAGGTATTTCTGAGCGCGCGTGATTTGAATGCTTGAGTTGCAGACAACGAGGTGCCGTGTACGATTGGCATGGACGAGTGTGTACTGAGCAGTCGGTGGCATGCTTTCTTGCTGATTCAAAATGGTTGAATTGCATTCCATGTTTCAAGAAGAGTTCCGTCAGGCAGATTACTCGCTTGCCATAGGCAGCTTGCTTTTGGACATCCGTAGGTGCGTCTACAACTGAAACTGGACACTGCTTGAGGTCCGTAGAAAGCACCTAAATTTAAACGAATCGTATATAATATTTCCATTGTACATCATCTGGGGCAGCGTGGGACAAGAAGCTTCCTGTATTTTGGAAACAATGACGAATACGTTTAGTGCAGCATCGTTGAGGGTTCGTAATGTACGACAAGTTCCAAGCCTACAACGCGAAATCCAAGTCATGTTTTCTGTGTGTGATAAAGAAACCCCCACTGGTAGCACGGCTGGTAGCTGCATCGAGAGAAGCCACTCTGCAAGAGGTTGCTCAAAAGCAGTCAGGATTGGAACTGGTCCCTCCTAGCACCTACCTAGCCACGACACACAGCAAACACAATGCATTGTAGACTTGGTGTATACGAATATATTTAAATAATTTTATCTCTATGTTAGCCCAATACAGAACGCCTCTTTGAGGCTTGTCCATCCATGAATGCAACTTTATTTCTACAAAAGATTAGGGAGGTGCAATGTCGTGATTGTAACTTCGGTCAGGCTTATTGTTGAGTGTATATCGAATAGCAGGAAAGGCGAAAGTGAATGACAAACGACCCCCTACCGTGGCGCGTCTATTTCCCTTGAAAGAAATTCCCTTCAACACAAGCAAGGAAACGAAAAGCCCCCAACGGTAGGGGTCACTGCGGATTGAGCTGTTACAGAATGTGTCCTTTCGTGTACTGGGATCGGAATGCGCACTGTGTAGGGCTTCTTTGGTTACCCCATTATCAGAAAATCACTGGAAGAGTATCAGTAACCGAAGCCAACAATACTCATGTTCTCAGATGTCAACGATTCGAAAATAGGAAATATCGTCGATCATCAGTTAGTGGTTGGAAGGCAGAACGGCAAACGAGGTATGAAGTGCATATTTGCGGCCATGCAGCCATGAAGTTAAGGATGCATCCCCACACATCTCCGACAAGGAGGAATCGATAAGCGCTGCCTCTAATTGCCTCGTGACGGCCAGCGCAATAGGTCTGTGACATTTACAGGTGCGGAGCAGCATGACCTACCTGGAAATAATTACGTAATAGGGAGGATATACTTTGCAAACTCGAGGTCAGCTATGGATAATTTTGGCAACAGTGTCTCCACTAAGCGGGACACCACAGTCATCCCGTCAACCGTCAACCCCTGTCACCGAACAAGGACAGGCCTGTCAAATGATTGCAACGAGAAATTCAGAGCAGATTGTGATACGCGAAAGTTACGCAGTTCTCGCAACGCGCGTTGGAAGCGGGTTGCACAAGGCAATGAGATACAAGTTAGGAAGAAATGGAGAAGAACAGGGATGCAATAATGCGATCATTGGGTTGCAAGGACCGTCCAATGAAGCATTGTCATCGAAGGACTATGATTAATCTCAGCATTGGGAGCAACACGGAGCTAAGTCGCATGTTTACATTGCTCAACAATGCTCTTGGAAGAGATGAATTCTTACGCATCATCCTTTTTAATGCTACAGGGTGAGTTGCTGTTGCCCATCAAAAGACTCTTGTTTGTCACAAATGGCGAGATTGCTCCTGGCAGCCATGTTATGACGTTGGTGACAAACGAAGCTCCACACACACACACACACACACACACACACAGTACATGCTATTGCACATGTGTGAGATGATGAGTTTACAGGTCACGGGATTCAATTACACTCTGGGTGTCCCACGCATTGGACACGTTGTTGAAATATTCCTCTCTTCATGACCCACGAATCGAGTTTTTGATGAAATTGGGTCTGCCATTTGGCTTCCAGGAAGGGAGGAGGAGTTCCATTTTGTATGTAGCTGACAACATGCCCATTGCTGTCCTACTTCCTACTTCCTCCTTGATCAACAACGGCATAAGGCCGCAAGAGCTGCCCTCTTCATGCACTGACATACCGTATTGTGGTGTGCTACCGCCCCGTACCTCTGGTACTCTAGATGCAAGCCAGACTACACTCTAGGACCACGCTGCCATGAATATGAAACTGCCAAATAGTGCATAATAGGTGTGATAGCCTCCTGGGTACACGTCACATTTATAGGCAAGGATGTATTGTTTTCACATTCAAACACAAGGTCAGGCTCAGAAGAGATCCAATCATATTGAAATTGAGTAAACGAGAATAGGAGGCGCATCTCGTTTGGCATTTTGATCCTCTTTGCGAAAACTCCAATGTTGTTCCGGCTGCGGTCCTTCTCCCCAATTCACTGCCACGGATAGTTGCGCATTGCGGTAGATGTCCTTGAGCGGCACGAATGCAGGTCGTGGTGCCTACATCGACGAGAAATGCGAAAACATGTGACTTCGACGAGTGGCAAGGGGCTCCACATGTCACAAGGGGCTCCACATGTCACAAGGTATTGAAGGTAGAGCTACGTAAGTTATACTGTACGAACTTGCCTTGTAGACTACACACGGTGGGTTGATACTCGCTGTTCAGAGCGAGACAGCGAGAAGAAGGCTGCATGACGCATCAACGCATGTGATAACACGTCATCTTGATGTAACAATGGGGTTCCCCGGCAACTCGTCTTACCGTGGAGCTGGACTACAGTATACAACAGAGTACGCTGAACCGACAGTATTCCCACACCGCAACACACAGTAAGTTACCCTTGGGTATCCTTCTCACAGGGTAATAATGAGTAATGCCTGTACAGCACAGCACCACTCTTGAAGTCGAGTACCGTCCTTGCTGGAGCTCTCCTGAAGACAGTTTTGCCATGCTGGGGTACAGGTACTTGTTTCTGCCTCGTTGGATATTTCATGTTGAACAGGTGCATGTCTGGAACACACGCAGACCTTGCATCACATTGTTTTCTCTCTCTTTTAACTTGTAAAATACCTCTATTGCCTCTGTGCTGCACATTCCTCTTCGACCTGAGGCGTTCAACGAGGACAACTAATCAATGTAATGAGATGGCAACGCGAGCATCATCCCCGCTCTCTTCAGGTCACTGCTCATAAAAAGCACAACCCAACCACTGTTTTGGAACGAATGCTGTGCCGTTCACACACATAGGAGGGGGTTGCCAAGTAGTAAGCATAAGAATTCACGTATCGTACACCTGTTCATGTCCCACTCAAGAAGCGTAGCTATTTTTATTGCGGAAAGGACTACAACCATAGCCGAATAGGGCTTCCAAGTCTCCTTCCACAAAACGGGAATATTTCGAGCACTCTATAGTCGAATCTGTTGCGTCTCAGGTGCGTTCCGTATGCAACTAACTGATTACGTACTCAGATAGTCATTATAACGTCATGCGAAAAGGCTTCAGATTGCAATCCATCCCAATGTCCGAACGTTGTCAATGAGTGGGCTCCACCTGAGACTGTGATGAGCGTTCATAGGTGGGGGACTGATACAGGTTTTACTGGTGTATTTAACTGATAGGCACAAAGAACCTTCCAACACAACTGTTATCGTGCCACAACCTCGATTCATGGAGAGAACATACAGTATAGCCTAACCAGTCTATTCGTCAAACCGGGGCTGGAAGGAGGGGTTTGCTGTCGAGCCCGAGATAATAACGGCAAAACAATTTTTCTCGGCTTTATGACACCTCCGCCTGGTCGCCAGGCTTGCAATTAAAGGAGGTATGAGAAGAACGAAAAGCCACATCCTTACATTTCTTCCGGGAATGTTGTCATTCTTTATAGTTCTCGAACATTGTTCAGGAATGTTGTTGTGGTTGTGCCGGCGAAAGTCGAATAGTCTGATGAAATAAGGACCTGGACTGACGTGCTCCAGAATGTACGCAATTAAGAAGTTTAAGAGCATACATACTGTACGGTACGTACATACGTATGTGCTGTTTAGCGCAAGGAGGGGTTCTGGATTTCCTCCAAGTGACTGGTTGGACGCATCAATGTTGCCAGATGTTCTGGTTCCTGCTGTCGCCCACTTTTCATGGACATCGAGTACAGAGCTGTGCCTTTGAGGAATGGCATGCTCAACGTTGGGCTATTAATAGCAAAAAGCCTCACCTGCAGCCGCGTTCTGTATACTGTACGAAGGTACCATGAAATACAACACTTCTACCCCAATGCAGATTTCGGCTTTGTCTTGATACGGCCGCTTCCAATTTCAGTATTTGAGGGCACATCAGCACTTGCTCTTGATAACGAAAGCACGACAAGGACGACGCCTTTCTACTTGAATAAGACTGCAGGCTTCGGTCTCCTCCTCTCCCCAGCTGCAAATGTGTGCGCTTGGGTGAGTCAGCACTGTTTTCAATGTCAGTTTTTTGACAAGAAAGGGAGACGTCCACTATGCCAAATAAATGCTTCGCATCTTGATTGATCAAGGCACGTGGAGAAGGCTGTCGGCAAAAATCCTTCGTTGTTTTGAAACTGCCATGCGATGCCCTCTTTTTTAACAGATAAAATGATACAAAGATAAGAGGTAAGGTCGAACAGAGGCAACAGCTTTCATTGTATTGGAGAAGAAGAGATATGTAGAGACGCTGAGCATACGGAAAGAAGAACGGAAAATGCACTCGCGTTTGTGGACAGCAAAAAGCAATTGAAGCAGATTTTGATTGCCAGGCTGTATGCTTGCTGAAAGCCGCTTCAATGTACCGACACTTGAATGATCGCTGGGTGAGGGAATGAAGACGAATTCGTTGCTACATTCAATTTAAGAATGCACTGAAGGACGATATGTGCATCTGCTCAGATTTTCTCGAATGTAATTTATCTTTAGGTCTTCTGAAGGAACAATTGAGGCTCTGAGTTTTCGTTGTTTCCTAATTGAATAGAAGGGGCGAGGAAAAGACGTCTGAATGGTGTTTGCAAGTGGCCAGGATCATTGGCGGACATCACATTGCGTGGCCACGAGAGCAGGAGGATTTACTTTCAGTGGGGATGAGAAGGAGAGCTGAGCAGGGATGTTCTGGGCCATGAAAGATGGGAGCGGGTGAGAGAGGGGATGTGGTAGGGACAATTTTTAAGGTCGCTTTTCCATGAGCGGAGGATTGAACTGAAAGGCAGGTGAGATTGTAAATTGCTTCGGTTCCAGTGACGGCGAACAACTGAGATTGCTCCTGTACTGTAAACATGTGTGGAAGCATTACAGAGTGGTCGAGAGTACTGTACACTCACATTTCGATGAAGGGATCAAAATTATTGGCGCGAAAATACGGCCAAAGTCGCTATAGACAGGTCAAGCGAGGGCGGGCAACATCTCAGTTTGCAAGCGTGAGATTCAATTTGCAGATTTCTGCTTGAGGCACACACAAACATACACCGCTCGACAAGCAACTGTGCCAAATCGCATTCCTCTAATCTTTCCAAACTCGTTCCCGACTCGTCAGCCCTTCTCCTCGCGCACCCGGTACATAAGCAGACACATTCTCGCGGAATCTCTTGGCCCTTTCTTTCCAAACTATCACTGACAACTCACCCGTGGTTCAACTGCTTGTCTGTTCTTGACCCGCAATCGCTTTTGGACTTTCTTGCCGACTCCCAGCTGATCTCTTCATTTTCATCTCTGCAAACTGACGGCTGAACGGTTTCATTTGCGCAGTCTGAGAGCTACGGCGGGTACTGATTCCGCATTCCGCATTCCGTCCTACGTATTTGCAGTTCAATTCGCCGTCGCTGGATACAGACATCGTTTGCGTGGCTCTTCCGGAACCAAACCCGCACCTTTAGCCCACAGCTAGAGAAAATTTCTTCAGGCTTGCGGTGGTCGCCTCGTGAGGGCGCTTGTTTCTGGTACGCTCCTTACGTGCCGTCCTCATCCTTGCGAATATAGCAGTCCCACTTTCGCTAAGAGCGCCTGTCAACACCCTTTCAAGTCCCCTGGAAACTGATTTCGCTGCTACCGCACTCAACCGACTGTAATCCAAGCCCAACAGTGGATAGGTCACGTGTTATCTTCGTTTGCGATCATCCCTGCAGGTCGACCGCCATTTTTCGCCTTTCCAGACTCTGCCCTTTCTTGGATCTTATCACTCGCATTGCGCCCTATTTCGATTCTGCGTAGCACGGCACGCAAAGCAACTCGAAATCAACAAGCAAAGACTACACCCCTTGCTGCCATCTTCTTCACGGGTTCGACTATCTACTCGGTGTAGGACCATTCCGTTTAGACTTCAGCCATGGGACCAAAGAAGCGTTCCGACGAAGTCGATGCGGACGAAGACCTCCCTTTCAAGCTGGGTGAGCTTGTCCTTTGTCGTTATTCGTCCTATCCTTACTGGCCAGCCACCATCGATCAAACCCACCAAAAGGTTTCTAAAGGTAAATTTGCTCGCTGGGGTAAGACCAATGATGGCGCCCGTATCCTGACCTTCTGGTGCACATTCTCTAACGAGGATACTGGAGGCTGGGTACGAGCGGATAGAATGGTTCGGTTCCATCCAAACCTTGTCGACAAGATCCGCCTGGATGACGATCATGACTTCTATGACGCCCAGGTCAAGGCACTTGCAACTGCTGAGGCCGACTTCAAAACACTTCACATAGACGGCGATAGGATGCCTGTCCCGACCCCGCCAGACGATTTTGAGGCAGGCGTTGATGGAGACGATGACGAGCTTGAAAGCGTCGGAGAGGAGGAGGCTCCCGATAGCGAGCCCGAGACGGCAAAAAAGCGGCGGTCGTCGAAAGGTCGGCGTAAATCCACTGGCGGGCATGTCTCGTCCTCAAAGCAACCGACAAAAAAGCCAGCGAAAGATTCGATTCCGTCAAAACGAAAGTCGATTCCCACGGCGGAGCCCGGCAAACCGGGTAAGAAGGCAAAGGTCGAGGGGAAAAAGCGCAAGAGAAACGAGAAAGAGGAAGAAGATAAGAACAAGGAGGAAGCGAGTCTGGAGGCTATGGACGATGTCCAGGAGGAGCCACCAGTGCTGCGGAGAAGAAAGGCCGCTAGAACGAGGGGGCGGGACGGAGAAGATGGGGATGTGAGTGAGAGACTAAAGGATTTGCAAGAGAAGCTTGAGGACGCCAACCAATCCATAGCCACACTGAAGCGGCGCCTGCGAAAACGGGAAAGTCAACTCGCTTCCATGACGAACATGTCGGAACCTGTGCGAGTTGTGGCCCCCGCTGCCCCGGAGAATCTTGCTGTTCCCAAACGCTTGGCTTCGAAAACGCACTCCAATGCTGTTAATGCTGACGAATTTGCCAAAATGTATGGGGCCCTGCAGGATAGTTTCACCGCCTTCAAGAAGCTCGTCTTTGCAGCTGATGCCTCTCGATCCTCACTCGATCGAGAAACGAAGGATGTGCAAGAAAAGTTTGCGAAGCTCATCAGTGACGTCAAGAATACTGAACACAAGGCTGCTGAGCAAGAAAAGCTTTTATGCAGGCAGCTAACGGAATTGCTGGAAGGTGACGTTGCTCTCGCAGCGCTTCGAGCTCACAAGGCAGGAAATTTCGTTAAGAGCATGGGTAAGACATGCAAAGGTATGCCACTTATAAGCCATCTCTGCGCTGAAATCCGTTCCAAGTGGCTGCTGCAAGTCAAAACTTTCATGACGGAACAGTCGGCGACTCAGGAAAATGGCGAAGCGGCTGGAAAGGGAATGTCCGAGTCAGTAGAACGTGAGGTGGCGGACAGCAATTCAACAGATAGTGCTATGGGAAAGGGTGAGGCCAGCAAGGACGGCACGAAGAAACCCACTGCCACCACTACCACAGGAGATGCAGTGACCGCGAAGGGAAGAGCTGCGGAAGCCGGCTCGCGAGCTGATGAGCAGATGGCAGACGTGGAGGCGGAAGAGGCTTCCCGCGGGGAGGCTCTTGAAGGCGGAAAGGTTCCGGCTCATCTCACAAACGAGGAAAATGAAGAGGCGAAGCCCGACCCAACCATCGAGTTGGCAGCAAAGGCGGAGACGGCGCCTGATAGCCCACGGAAAGCCAAAGAGTCTGGCGGAAGGACGGAGGATGGAACGCAGGGTAAGGTCCGGGCAGACTTGGAGATGGATCCGCATAAAAAGACAGCTTCAAGAGGGGACGGACCTGTTGGGGGTAGAGCCCCCGTGGCAAAGAATGATTCCAAATCTCATGAAGTACTCTCCGAGAAAATCGACGATAAGACTGGCACCAGGGGTGCAGCAAAGCTAGAATCGAATGGGAGAAGGCAAGACACAAAGACACTGTCTTCAAAGAAGGGCGAAAACAAGAAGGGCATGGTTTTGTCATCTCCGACACGTCCGCAATCAGCTTTGCATGAGGGGCAAGACTCCATGGGACATGATACTTCTAATTCTCCCGTGGAAACTTTACGAGGCGAGCAAGCAGGGGCCGGCGCTTCTAGTGCACGTACACGGAGACGACAGGCACTTGAGAGGTCTAGAGGCGCTCCCCCGGGAGACGGGGAAAACGCCGCCGGCGAAGAAAAGAAGCCACCATCCACAGGAGTCGAAAATGAGACTGCTGCAGTATAGATTCTATTCGCGATTTCATGTTTGCGCTCTTTGATAAATGTATTGAACATAACTTGACCTCATCAAGGGCGAAAGTAGTCGTCTTCGAGTAGCTGCAGGCCTTCAGTACTGCTGTTGCTTTTGGTTTCCTCAGGACTATCGCTTCCGAAGAAAGCTCCCCAAAAGCTTGTCCGCGGCTTCACAGTATCTGCATCTTTCGTTGTCGGCTCGAGAATATGAGATGCCCGTGCGGTTGAGCGGGCTTCATCTTCACTCTCCTTTTCCGCATTTGGCCTTTTATCCTTTTCTTCGCACGGCCCAATGGCTGTTACATTCGCTCTGAGGTGGGCTGAAGAAGGGGGTAAATGATCGCGCGAGAGGCCCTTGTCTTTGTCCTCGCATGTTGTGTTGACAAGAGTTTTCTGATCATGGTCTGTAGCTGGGTAAGCGAATGCAGGCGCGGTTTCACTCATGGTATTGTTCTCTGTATCGCTTGCTTCGAAGCTATTGCTTCTCTTCATGAAGCTCGTCGGCCCTGATGTTGCACGGTGCCCATAACTGAGTGCGACGCGGACAGCAGAAATGACGCGATCTGCAACTTTCGAAGCCATGTTTTGAGCTGCCACTTCGTCTAAATCCCATGCTTCATCGCACGCTGTGACTGTTCCTTCTGATACACTCTCGGCAGACGCACTAGCTCTTGCACTTTCTGTCTTGTAATTGCCTGGCACATCGGCATCGGGAGCGATGGGGCCGATGTAGATCACCTCCTGAAAATCTTTTGAGGAATGCAGGACGATTTCCAACTCTTTCCCATAATGTTCCCTAAGCACTTCGCCCAGCATATGGGTGTACTTGGACACTATGGCAACCATCTCCTCATCCCCTTTCCAATGCCCGTTGCGAGACACTTCTCCGAAGGGGGTGACACGTACTGCAGCATAAAAGAGAGCTGAGAGACCGTCGCTTGCATCTTGGGGTGAGGACAACTCTTCAACCTCTATGTCGTGGCATTGTCTAATCTCCGATATAAATGCCGCCCTCCCTTTTAATACCACATCTTGCTTTCTGATCGCACATGCGAGGTCTTTGCAGATTTCCAAAAGGACTTTTGCCGAACACGCTCCCGAATCTTTCAAAAAGCGCATAGCATGGCTTGGTATAAACCTTAGCCATTCCCGGTTATCATGCCTTGTCAACATCAGTAAGGATTGCAAGTTAGTGTGGCAGCGTTGAAAAACCCAAAACATTGCCCTGTTTGTAGCTTCCAGTGAAGCGCCGGTCGAACGAGATGGCGAAGATGATATCAGGACTATTTCTCCACAACCGATTGTCCTGCACTCAAACAGGTTCGGCAGTCTATCCATCGTTTCGACGAGGATTGCTGCATATTCGCACGCTTTTAGGAGTGCATTCGCAGACAAGGAAAATCTCACGCGTTGCAGCAAATACCAAATTGACATATAAGCAGTGAGGTCACCTGGAGCACCTGGAATTTCTATCAAGTCTTGATCTAAATTGTCTTTGCAGTGCAGCAAAACAGCTGTGTTATAATTTCCATACCACTTTGCAATGTCAAGGGTTGTAGTGTGTGCGGCGTCTGTCAGGTCGCCTACGTTATAGAAAAGACTCTTCGCACTAGTGCCCGTCAGTATCATAGGTAGGGCGTTTCCTTCAACATGCATGTGCATGCCATATGTATCGCATACCGCTCGCAATAAACCAGAAGCTGCGCTCAAAGTGCCATCCAATTGGGCATCAACTATCATAAGCGTTGGAGATAAAGCGCGCTTGAACACGGCGTCTTTGAGTTTTGCAACGATTGTGGCGCGTGTGACTTCTTCGGCCGACACGGATACATGCTCCACAACTGCTAATCCTCTCATGTCATTTTGCAATGAGTGGAGGGTGGTCAAAGACTGCTTCCCCACCATGTCGTCCAACACACCTGTGGTTTGCTGGAGAACGTATAAAACGTACGGGGCGCCCACCGAACTCATAGCCAATGGGGCATCTTCCAGCCTCCCATAACGCTTTCGCAAAGCCATTCGAAAAACAGAGCGACGGGCATCGGCAGATGTGGACACGGGGAAGAGAGAGCTTGCCTGCATATCCAGATGCGGAATGTGATTCTCCAGAAAAGTAGCCATGGAGGATGATAAGGATCTACATACTGCAACACACGCACGTTGACACAGAAAAGTATCCGCCCAGAAGCCAATCGCAGAGATAGAAGCTAATTCTTGGGCAAGCAGGGAAACGGACAGCTCCGAGCTTTCGTCGTCCAACTGCTTTGTGAATTGGTCAGTATCACTTGAGGGGTGCGTGCCGATGACCTCTCGAATTTGTGAGGCGAGCCGTGCTGCTATGTCTGAGGATGCAAAGGAGGGTGACGAGGAAGTGAATGAGCGGAAGGCTTCTTGCTGTTGGTGTGATCGAGACGGCAGTTGATCCTCATGGTGTTGATTTGACTGATCCGCAAAATGCTGAGCCGCGTCGCAGAGAGCCTCGGTGACGGAGGCGAAGTCCTGAAGGGGCAGCCGCAGTTGAGCTCCCCTTCGAAGGGGCAGCAACATGTCCATAACACCCGGACGGATTGAGCATTATTCGAGCTGGAACAAAAGTTGGTGGGGCTAGAACGGGCTATGCTGTACAGTAAGGGCGAATTATGCGAGGCAGAGGTTGAGAAACCAACTTTAAGCAAGGCTAATAATATTTTACAAAAATACCCAGATCCACTTTTCACAGTCACTGTAAATACTGTGGCAGTATGACAAAGCCGCATCTTGACTTGGAGCGAATCGGACGGAGTGCTCCTTCCTGACGATTATGGCACGTATTGATACGTGTGCAGCTGGGACAAAAGGTTCTGTTGGAAAAAGGCATACAGTACCAAGGGTGATGCCTTTTTCCAACAGAGGGAGAAAAGGTGGGCGCAAGCGGGAAAAGGCCACATGGATGCTGCAGACAGCAGAGAAATAACCAAAACATACAGTACATTGCACTGCAGTGTATGTTGTGGTTGTTTTCGAAGTGCGCCCGAGTCGGCGGTCTGTGGAGAGTGAAGGGGATGTGATCTGCCACTATTGTACAGTAACTGTACAGTCAGGGGTAACGGTACCCCTCCGAAGGGTACCTGCATGTTAGGGTGAAAACGGGGTACGTCGCCCCGTGTCTTACCCGTGTGTGTTTTTTTTGTGATGTGTTTCTCTCTGCTCTCGGCCGTACAGGACGACCGAAAACCACCGCATTTATACTCTTTTTGCGCGCGGTCTACAATTACTAACTTAAACTTCCAATTACTTACACTGGTCCCAACCACGTGTCACACAACCCCCCACTTAGGCGGGGCCACGGGACCCGGCCACTCAGATTTTGTCTTTGATTGTAATTTTTCTTCACCCTCCAGCCTATATCAACACAGACCTCGGGCTCGGACCCCCCTTCCCTTCCTGTGGTATCTGCCGTTGCTCTCCGTTCGCCTTTCTCGCTCCACCCCAGCTTCTGTTTAGCTCTTTCGGCCTCCTGGTTCCTGCGCCGCTTAGCTCTCGCCGCTCTTCCGCGTTGCCTCCGTGGTCCTCGTCGTAGCTTAGACCTCCTGCTTCCCGCCAGATCGAGAGGCACGCAGGTGGGGTTTCAGTCCCCGTGTGCCCTCTTTGGCCCCCCTCATAGCGTAATACGATGGCGAGGACCAAGCAGACAGCGGCGAAGAGCACAGGAGGTAAGCGTCCGCGGAAGCATCTGGCTCTGAAAGCTGCACGCTTCGCCAGCCGCGACCACTTAATGTTCGAGCTCTCATCTCGAACAGATGTAACCAAGGTTTCCAAGACGGGCTCCATGTTCCACATTTGGGTGGCCAGCGGGCATCGCCGTTACGCTGTAACAGAACAAGAGTTCAACAGCCTTCTAGGAGATCACATTACCGCCCTGCTCCACCGCAAGCCAGATGAAGAGGTCTCTCTCGAAGAGATATGGCGTCTTGGTCTCACAGAGTCGTTGTCGGACACAAACCAGTACTGTATTATCGGCGACGGTGAGTGGAACATTGAGTCCATCTATCTCGACGTTGACAACACGTACTATGGCGTCGATGCCGCAACCAACCTTCCTCACCGTATTTTGCTATACACTCTAGCAATTTCCGGAACCGGGAATAGTACAACTCACAAGATTGTTGACGATCTCTTCCAGTTTGGTGGGAGAGACTGAATTAGTGCCTTCTTAAGTATTGATCGTTTTTGCACAGATCAAAAGGGCAGGAGTCTGAAGATGATCCATGGTCGTTCCAGGGCGGTCAATCCTCGGACTCCGATCTACCGCGTTTCCACACACGGGACCGTGCGGTTCCGAGATAATAGTGACATGTGCATCTCCGCCGCCGTCTGCAACGGTCTCCAACTACTAGGGTCTCCAAACCTTGCCGTCAAGTACTGGGATCTTTTCGTACGCAACAGCCTCCTCTTTGAGAGGACCGGCTCTCCGTCGCGTCGAATCCGAGATTTCCATGACGCTGGAAAACACCTTAATCAAGATGAAGTCGCTCTTCGCGGGTCGGGTCTTCGTAGTCCATCTCTCGGACTCCTCTTGAGGCTCGACCCGGGTGTCTATGTCGCGACTTTAGAAGGCTTGCCCCACATAATGCACAGCATCTGCGTCTCGACCATACATTCCATCGTACTTGATTGTATGGAGGGGTTTCCGCTTCGGCTCTGCGCCGGCGCGGTCAAAGCATGCGTTGGAGCCGACGGGATCTTCGTTGGCGTCTCCGAACTGCGCCAAGTTCTCGTCGTCACCCCTTCCAAGAAGAAACGGAGCAGAATTGGACGCGCAAGCAGCCGCAGAGCGCACAAGAAAGCCGCGATTCGGGGTTCGGGAAGTTCCATTCAGCATTAGAGGTCATTGGTGATTCCCATTGTCTCCATGACCCACTCTCTATCTACTTGTAGCAAGCAATCAGTACTTCATATGCATTTCACTATCTTTCAATTCAAAGCGTAAAAATCCCTAATCATTTGCCTCACTGAAGGTGCAACGGTTGCCTCCTGTAGAGGACCAGCCTTCTGGCATGTATCTCCCTTCTCGAGTAGCGTTGATGCGGCGACACTAGGGTGTACCGCGGGTGGCGCACACCAGCAACTCGGCATGGGCCATAGAACTTCGACAAGGCGATAGGCCATTTCTGCATGGGCCCGAGGGCAGCCCCTTTTGCGACCAACACTTCGTCGCCCACATTGAAAGTTGCTTCGCGACCGTCTGTTAATGTGGTTGCAGCTCTGCGCCCGATTATTCTTGTTGCCCGCATCGCTCTGGCTTGCAGGAGTTCCATTTGCCGGTGGCGGATCTCGGAGACTCCGAAGAGAGGCTCTTGGTCTCCAGGCGCCATCCTGGGCAACACCCCATAAAGCAGCTCGAACGGGGACAATCCCACCGCCATCCTCCTGCGACGGTATCCATATAGGACTTGACGTAGAGCATTGTCCCACTCAACAATTGCAGGCGAGGCACCGAGAATCATCTTACGGACTGCTCTCTTCAATGTGCCGACCATCCGCTCTGCCCGTCCATTCGACATAGGCGCATAGGCGAGCACTGTCTTCCACTTAATCCCGTTTCGTGCCATGAAGGTATTCAAGACCGACGCTGTGAAACAAGTAGCGTTGTCCGAGACAACGACACGTGGTAACCCAAAACAGTGGATTATCTCTTCTTTCACGAACTTCAGCACCTCCTCTGCCGTCGAGGTGACGGTGGCCTTCGCAATTGGCCAGCCAGTCAGGTGCTCCACGGCAATAAGGATGTACCTCCCTCCAGAGGGCGTACGAGGCAATGGTCCCGCAAAATCGATAGAGTATGTATCAAATAACGAAGTCATGGGAAATCGAAGGGTGGTCTTGTACTTCGGAATTGGTGTGGCTTTCTGACAACCGTCACATCCCCGAACGTAGTCGTTCACGTCTCGGTGGACGGCAGGCCACCAATATCGGTCCAAGACGAATCTCTTCGTCGTTTGCAGATCCCAATGGCCTATTTCGTCGTGAAAGGCTCTAACGATCTTTCTGCGAGCCCCTATAGGCGGGATAGCGCGTAGTCCATTGTTGGTCCTACGGAACAGTTGTCCATTACAAGCCATGAAACGTTTGGCACTTCGGCGGTTGAGCCGACGTCGACGAACATCCACTTCCCTCATCTCAATACCCCCGAGGTGCCTTGAAATGTCAATAAGATGGGGTTCCCACCCCATTTGCGCCTCTAGAGGATCCGAAACACTGCAGACAAGATCTCCCTCGTCGTCAGAGTCGACTCCATCCTCGCCCTTGGCTTTTAGGCGGGACAGGAAGTCAGCTGCACCGTTCTTTCCTCCCGGGCGGTACTTAATTTCGAATTCGTATTCTGCTAGGAAGTCCATCCACCTTGCCAACCTCCCGTGAATGTCTTTCTTCTTAAAGGCATACTGCAGGGCTTGGTGGTCTGTTATTAGCGTGAACTTCTTTGTTGAAAGCAGGTAAACTCGGAACTTCTTCAAAGCGAAGATCACAGCCAGGGCCTCTCGCTCACAGGCGGAATACTTCCTCTCGGCTGACGTCATCGTGCGACTTGCGTACTGGATCGGGTGGACTTTCCTGTCCTCTTTTCGTTGGGCCATAACAGCTCCGACGGCGACCGAGGATGCATCAGTCTCCACGACAAAAGGTTGTTCGAAGTCCGGAAACGCCAAGACTGGCGGGGAGGTCAACTTGAGCTTAAGCTTCTCGAATGCCTCCTGCATCTCCGCCGTCCACTTAAAAGTCCGTTTAGTAGACGTGGCCTCATGTAACGGAGCAGAGATCTCGGCGAACTTGGGAATGAAGCGGCGGTAGTATCCCGCCAGACCAAGGAAGCTACGAAGCCCTGTCGCATTGGACGGCTCCTTCTCCCTCTTAATGGCGCTGACCTTTTCGGGGTCCACTTTGACGCCATCTCCGGTGACTATGTGCCCAAGCAGTCGCGTTTGGGACTGTGCGAAGCTGCATTTTGAGATCTTAAGCTTCAGCCCGCTCGTAGCAATCACCTTGCAGACTTCACATAAGTGTGAAGTGTGCTCTTCAACGGACTTCGAGAAGACGACTACGTCGTCTAAGTAAACCCTCACGAAGCTAAGTCTTTGGAAAAGCTGGTCCATCATTCTTTGGAACGTAGAGGGGGCGTTCATTAACCCGAACGGCATCACCTCGAACTGAAACGTCCCAAAACGGCAGACGAAAGTCGTCTTCTCTTTGCAGTTCTCAGCCATCCGGACTTGCCAATACCCCGAGAACAAGTCAAGCGTTGTGAAGACCGAGCTCCCCTCTAAATCATCGAAGATCTCCTCGATCTTTGGCAAGGGCCAACGATCGGCTTTCATTTTGCGATTGAGGGTGCGGTAATCTACACAGAACCTGGGTTTTCCGTCTTTCTTCGATGCGATAACGATAGGGAAGGACCAGGCCGAAGTGGAAGGGGTAATTATTCCTGCCTCCAACATCTTACGAAGCTCCTCACGTACCACTTCATTGTGGCGTGGCGGAAGCCTGCGTGCAGCGTGGGTAATGGGGCTTGGATCTTCTAGCTCAAACGAGTGAGACACCGGAACATCTGCCGGTCTTAAATCGTCGAGTGACCAAGCTACGATCCCTGAGTTCTGGATAGAATTCACAATGTTGTCCCTGGCCTCGAAAGCCAGGTGGCGCAATTTCTCTCCGAGAAGGGCTACTTGAAGCCGTTCCGGGCCTTCTTCATCTACTCTGCCATCTCGTTTCGCGTTTTCCGAGTCAGACTTTAGGCCCTCTTTCACTAGATCAGGAAGACCATCCAATTCATCTTCGACTCCATCCGGTTGCTTGGTGAGTCCCAAATCAGGTTCAAATGGTGGCTGGTCAAGAGTCGCCAAGACAAATTCATTGTCGCTTGTCATAGACGAGCCAGGTACAGCCTCAGAGTCGGAGGTGAAATCCTCACTATCAGTTGAGGCCGCACTCCGTGAAACGTGTTCCACATCCATGTTGAGGCCTAGTCTGGTGGTATTCTCACCTACTGTCATCTGCACATGTTGCTTACCAAGATCGATGCATGCCTGTAGTCCCTCAAGGGTCGGAAGCCCTATGATCAGGTCGAACGGCGATCCTTTCACGACTAGGAAGTCCAACTTCACGATAAGTTCACCGAACGATGTTGGTATCTGATGAAGCGATCCCAGGCAGGGCGCATTAGCACCATCTGCCACCGTGATATGCTTCTCAGTCGGTTGCGGGGAGAGGCAAAGCTTAGACGCCAACTTTGGCGAGATTATGTTCGGTACGGCCCCAGAATCTAACAGGGCTTGAGCTTCCGTCCCATAAACCTTCACAGTTACCAGCCGCAGCCTTCGAGACTTCGTATCGGCGTGACCTGCGAAAGTACGACCACGGACTCTTTGTTTCGCAAACAAGCGGCCTATCTCCTTCTTCGCGACTTCCGCATCGCCGCGAACAAGCTGTCCGAAAGTGAGTCCGGAAGATGCGTTTGCAAGCTCCGAAACGACATTATACTTCCTCACATACTCCTGGAGGGATGCTTTTCTGGTCACTTTCTTCGCTTTCTTCCTCTGGTGGGACCTCCTTGGCCCCGCCTGAAGTGGCAGAGCCCTCTTTTGCATCTCGAATGGTACAGACGGGTTCAAAAGCCTGGGAATGGACACCTCCTCCCGCGTTTTGTGCTGCTTGGGAAGAGGTTCCCCGTCTGCGTTTCTCTTGGTGACGGCCACGACTTCTCCGTCGTTCGCCTCGTCAATATAGGTGACCTGGGCATTCCCTGAACCTTCTGTCGCAGGTGCTGTGGACTGAGTCGTGGCTCTTGCCCTCGGCAGTGCCGTTCTAAGCCTGGTCCAGCACGTCTCCTTTTCATGACCAATCTTCCCACAATTCGAACAACGAGTGTCTCGGCGCGGATTAGAAGGGCATCGGGTGGCTCCATGCCCCGGTTCCTTGCAGAATGAGCAGGTTCGGACCTGGCCACCTTGATCTGCTGTCTGATTCTTCTTTACCAACAAAGAAAGTTCTGCTAGCCGTTCTGCCAGCACGTCCACTTTCTTTTCGATCTTGTCCGGCTCCTGGCGTGTTTCCGGTCTCTGTAGAATGCGCCTAGGCGCCGGAGGCTGAGTTTGCCTAGCATTGTGTGCAGCCATAAAGGCTTTGCGGCCAGACACGAAGTCCTTAACGGCCTTCTTCAGCTCCCCGTACGAGGTAGGTGCCCTATACAAGACGAACTGTGACACGTCGGTGTGCTCCATGACCGCGTTCCGGAGTAGTCCGAACTTGGCTTCGGGGTTGAAAGCTGCTTTATCGAAGCGGCGATCCATCGCGTTTAACGACGCGAGCACGTCGTTGCCGTCCAACCTACTCGCGACTGCGAGCCTGATGTTTTCTTCCGGTTCAGGGACTGACTCGAAACGGTCGAGCAATGCCTTCTTGACGGCTTGGTAGTCGCTGGCCGCCTCGTTCAGTCCACCGTCTTGGCTGTATGTTTCATAGTAGTAGTCGAAAGCCTCCCCTTGCAGGTAGCACAGTAGCTCTCCGGCTTTGTCTTCGTCGGACTTGCTTTTCATTACGACGTTTTCGTAGACAAAGAAGAACTTGGCGACATCCGCCTCGTGCTTACCATCGAACACCAGGGAAGCGGGACCCGCCTGACTGTTGGCGTCGGCCCTCCACAAGAGTACCATGTTAGGGTGAAAACGGGGTACGTCGCCCCGTGTCTTACCCGTGTGTGTTTTTTTTGTGATGTGTTTCTCTCTGCTCTCGGCCGTACAGGACGACCGAAAACCACCGCATTTATACTCTTTTTGCGCGCGGTCTACAATTACTAACTTAAACTTCCAATTACTTACACCGGTCCCAACCACGTGTCACACTGCACATGAATGGGGTGGAAAGAGATGTGTAAAATTTACTGCACAGGGTGCAGGTCTCGGTGCTTTATTCAATGAAAAATCAATACAAAAAAAGACCACGCAGTGGCCCGTTTTGAATAGACTCGAAAACCACACCACTGCATAGTAGATCTGGTCGGTACGAGACAGCGGGCAGAGCGTTTCGACCGGACGCAGCGTCTACAGTAGCTGGAAACCATGACGGAGCAAAAACTCGTGAAACCGTGCCGTCAAAAACCCCTTGCTCCTCTTCTCCCCATCCGCGCCGCGTCCGTTGTTCATCCTTGGTCGTGCCCCGCCCTCTCTCTCTCGTCCATACGGACCACGCAAGCTCCGGCCGATGCTCACCCGGCGCTTCGACCGAGCACAAGGAATCACCCACAGACTCCACCCTCCGTCACCACAGAGCGCCGCCACGTGCGACCAACACGCGCGACATGCGCGTGTAGACCCCTTCCGCGACAACTTGGTACCGTCTCGTTTTCGCATTGCACGAACCCTTCCACTTAACCACTTTATCACATACCTGTGAAGCGGGGATTCCCCGTCCGGTGCTTTTGAGGACCGTCTCACCTTGCTCCGACCCTTCTGGTCGCCCCGCCTAGGTTTATATTCGCGACCGCGTCGTTCACGACTTCAAGCTGGATTTTGTACATATCTACTTCCACCAACGTGCCGAGAATACCGGCGATGGGCCAAACCACGTCGACACCGGAGCCGTCTTCGAATGAGAAGCGCCTGATTGCCGAGTACGACCGACTGGTTCGCCACGGCGAGTCCCCGCCGCCGTCATCTTCGAGTCCAGACTTGGAGCGCATGCTTTGGCAGCATGATTTATCTCATGCGGAGCGCAAGCAGTTGGAAGGTCGTTTAACTTCCCTTGCCTTGCGACTGGACGCAATCGAACGAGCCAACAAGGCACGTGAGTTGGAAAATAGGGCAAACGAACTCTATGCAAGGATTATGGCAGGCCCGAATGCACTCCCAGGAAACGTCAAGGGCGACAAGAGGAGGACTAGCTTGTTGGATGAGGTGCGCGTGTGGGAAGATGAAATAGATACGTCGAGGGAGGCAGAAGCTGGCACCATGGGGAGCAGGCCATAGGCGAGTTGGATTCTCTAACTTATAACTTGTAAATAACTTGGATGATGGCGCTTGAAGATCTTTGAAGCGAACGGCATGCGTATTTGCTACTTACCCATTGCCCGGGAGCTCGGTGGGAGCGCGAGATATGCAGCTGCCCGCATCGTAACACTGGCTGACATGAATGCCATTGAACTAGTGTCCCGGCCTGTCATTGGGGATAAACACGAAGTGCAGGTGCAATATTGTTGAAGACTTGGGATGTTTCTTGACGCGATGCCTCCGCATGCTCTGTTGAAGCATTTAATCACTACGTAGATGTATGTGTAACCCTTCAATATTGACGTGCCGTTATGTGCTCGACGTGTCAATTCGACATCGCGAGACGGAGAATAACCTCGTCTTCGAAACGGATTAATCGCGAAATGGCTTTTGTCAACTTTATGAGCAACTATCGGCGCTCCGCCGAGTACGAGACCAGAAGTGTTTCGTACTAAGGAAAATATGTCCTGCATACCCGAAAAGACAAGTGCAGTATGCGCTGCACACTACAGCATGAGGCTTGCTCGAAAAGTGCCGGTGACTCGGTGTTGTTTGTGTGTGCCTTCCTATGGTACTGCTTCAGCAAGGCATTTCTGTTATCACAAGCGACTTGCTGTACTCTTGGTTACAGCACAGTGTGCTGAGCACACTTGTGCTCAGCACACCTGGCACAGCACCCTTGGATAAGGTACCGTTACGGTACCCGGTACAGGTTGTATGTGGTAGCCGAAATGTAAAATTTAGAGCACGAGTTGTGCATGCTGGAAGATCTGGGTTCCATCTGCCTCGATCTTTGCTCAGGATCAAGAAGAAAGAGTCGAGAAAAAGAATTTCGGAACAGCAAGGACGGCGGTTTGTATTCGAGATCTAATCCCACTTGATCTGGAAATCAACCTTACAGTCCAGATTCATAATTCCGGAATCCCGATCACCTGGAAGTCAAATATTTTCATATATCCCAAAAACTTTTCCAGCTGACACCGGCCTTTTTCGCTCACCGAGTCAGTTTTCATATTCTTATTTTGTCATTACTATTCCGGCCTGTGTCCCATTGACATGCTCTTGTTAAAGCATCGCCTCGAACTGCCAAGTTGACTGTAGCGGCTTTCGTACCCAACTCTTCTTGCTGTTACCACCTTATCTCACTCCCGATCTCACTCCTCGTCAGCGACACGTCTCCCCGGAATCGTGAGATTTCATCCGCAGGACGCTCCCGTGACAAATCGCCATGAGTAGTGTGAAGCTCGGCACAATGACTTCGGCGTTGGAGCGTCAATGCACGCTGCTGATCCATCAGGATATCGCCCCGGAAGATGCTGACGAACTAAAGAAGCATCTTGAATCTGGCGACCTTGAGTCAAAGGCAGAAGCGCTGAAGCGGGCAATTTCTATGCAGCTCTCAGGTGAGCCAGTTCCCGGTATGCTCATGATGGTTATCCGCTACATTCTCCCTCATGAGGACACTCATCTACGAAAGCTTGGGCTATACTATCTGGAGATTGTTGATAAACATGGACCCGACGGGAAAATGTTACCAGAGATGATTCTTGTGTGCAACATGATCAGGAATGAGCTTGTTCATCCCAACGAGTATACCAGGGGCTGCGCGCTGAGGTTTGTTTGCAAAATCCACGACGCTGAGATCCTCGAACCTCTCATTCCTTCTATTCGCCAGAATCTTGAGCATCGCCACTCCTTTGTTCGCCGTAATGCAGTTCTTGCAGTACACACCATCTTCGAGAAATTCGAGTTTCTCATTCCGGATGCGCCCGAACTCGTTGAGGAATTCCTCGCTGAGGAGGGAGACCTGGCCGCGAAGCGCAATGCATTTGTCATGTTGTGCCAGTCAGATCAAGATCGCGGTGTCAATTATCTCAACAACAACATTCAGCACATTCCCATGTGGGGCGAGACTTTGCAGCTCTCCGCATTGGAGCTTGTCCGTCGCGTGTGCAGAGCGAATCCACTGGAGAAGGGCCAATATATCAAGATCATTTTCGTGCTTCTCCAAAGCCCGTCAGCTGCAGTTGTCTATGAATCTGCGAACACACTCATCTCTTTGTCATCGGCTCCGACGGCAATCCGAGCTGCGGCGCAATGCTACTGCCAGTTGCTCGCCACGCAGAGCGATAACAACATCAAACTGATTCTTTTGGATCGCATCGTAGACTTGCGAAAGTCTCAAAGTGCCGTCTTGCAGGAACTCGTTATGGATATTATGCGAGCGTTGCAAAGCCCGAACATGGATATTCGGCGAAAGACTATTGATCTTGCGATGGATGTCATCACGCGCCGCAACGTGGAGGAAGTTGTTGGTGTGCTCCGCAAAGAGCTTGTAAAAACAATGTCTGCCGAGACTTCTCAAGAAAAGGACACGGTCAGCCAGTACAGGCAATTGCTCATCAAAGCGATTCATTCAGCGTCTGTCCGATTCCCAGAGGTCGCTGGAACGGCCGTCTCTGTTCTTTCGGATTTCCTTGCAGATACCTATGGTGATGCCGCCACTGATGTTATCATTTTCGTTCGAGAAGTTTGTGAGAGGTACGAGAACCTACGTAGTGAGGTACTGAAAAGGGTCCTGTTTATGTTGCCGTCAATTCGAAATGCGTCAGTGGTGAGGGGTGCACTCTGGGTTCTTGGCTCATATAGTGAACAGCCGCAGGATGTGAAAGAAGCGTTCCAAGCTGTTCTCAGCGGTGTCGGTCGTCTTCCTTTGACGAACGGCCTAGAAGAAGATGGTGAAGGAGAGGAAGATGAGGACGAGGTAGAAAAAGAGGCGAAACCTGCCCCGAAATCCAAGCGACCAACGATTCTTGCTGACGGTACCTACGCTTCCCAAATAGCTGAAACAGAGCTTGTAACTGGAGCTGGGTCTTCGACCAACGCCGAAAAGACTGGACCACCGATTAGAAGCTTGTTGATGGCTGGCGAATACGTTGTCGGTGTTGCAGTGTGCACGATGCTCACCAAATTGGTTCTTAGGGTCAAATCTTACGACAACGCCCCTCCTGTGTTTGTGAACAGAGTCAGGGCTGAAGCGATGCTTGTCTGTGCTTCTCTCTTGAAGTTTGGAAAATCACACTACGCTCCTGTCGCGATTGACGATGGTTCTGCGGAGCGCATCATTTCTTGTATTACGACCATGAATGGGGAAACGAATGGTGACATCTGGTTGGAGTCCAGTCGAGAGGCTTTCCACGAAGTGATTCGTGTGAATGAAGAGAGACAAGAATCTGCTGCACAGGAGAAAGCGAAGAAAGATGAGACACCCGTGGAAGAAGTAATCGATTTCCGCTTGCTGCGCTCACGCCGCACCACCGCCGCCACGGAAGCTGATGTAGATGTGGATGAAATGGCCTTGACCTCGGCAACCACCGGATCTAGCACCTCGCAAGGTTTCCAGCTCTCTCGCATCACTCAATTAACTGGTATGAGTGATCCTGTCTATGCCGAAGCCCACATAACAGTGCATCAGTACGATATTATCTTGGATGTCTTGGTCATCAACACTACAAATGACACCTTGCAAAATCTAACTCTGGAGTTGGCGACAATGGGTGATTTAAGGCTTTGTGAGCGCCCTCAGTCATACACTCTCGGCCCAGGAGACCGGAAAACTATTCGTGCGAACATCAAGGTGTCCTCAACTGAAACGGGTATCATTTTTGGAAACATTGTGTACGATGTGGCTGGTGCGGGGTCCGCTTCAGGCTGTGTAATCCTGAATGACATTCACGTGGATGTAATGGACTACATCGAACCCGGAGAAGTGAGTGACACAGACTTCCGATCGATGTGGGCAGAATTTGAATGGGAGAACAAGGTTGCAGTCAACACGACTTGCAAGGACCTCTCGCAGTTTTTGGACTTCGTCACGGAATGCACAAACATGCGCTGTCTGACACTGCGTGGAATTGAAGAGGAGAGTGGATACCTTGCAGCAAACCTGTATGCGCGGTCTGTATTTGGGGAAGATGCGCTTGTGAATCTAAGTGTGGAAAAAGCACCAGACGGTTCGCTTGCTGGATACATTCGCATTCGCAGCAAAACCCAGGGTATCGCACTCAGCCTCGGTGACAAAATTACCTTAAAACAAAGCCAGAAACAAGGGCCGAAGTAAAGTAATGTATCTCTTCGTGTAGTACTATCTTTACCATTTTCACCAGCGAGCATCACTTCATCTCGTGTCCTTCTCTTCCCTACATTCAATCTCATTTGCTATCTCTCATAAAATAACTGTGACGTCCGCAGAGCATTCGACAGCGTGGATGTGCACAGAACCGATGACAAGTCCCCTGAAAGAGGTACCAGCTGTGGCTAGCGGTCACGATCAAGTCAGACCTGAAAACTTCCGACGATTAGTAAGTTAATGAAACGAGACCGCCATTCTCTGCATGAACGCTTAAGGATGCTTGAATTAGTGCAGCTGTTGCAGGAATTTTATACCAACATTTCGCTGTTGACTTATACGTATATTTGGCGCACAGCGTGGTATGAATGCGGCAAGCTGGCGTTACCCTTAGAAGGGTAGCTACCAATGAGCTTTTGGGGTCCTCGATGACACGCAATTCCATCCAATGCAAAGGGCTTTGGAGCAAACTGACGACTTGAGCAACTACCTCGAACTCAGCTCCAGTCACTCATCATGGCTTTGTCCATTCGAGACTTGTAATGCTTCTTCACAGATTTCCGTCGTCGCCGGGCTTTCCTTGCGCGGGCCTTGAACAGTTCTTTCGCTGCGAGCGACTCCTCTCCTTTTTCGATTTCATCTAATTTCCTCTGCAAAATTTTGCGGGCTACTTCTCGGTTTTTAACCTGGCTTCGCGTTTCCTGGCACCGCACTATGATACCGGATGGTTTATGCTTTAGTACCTGTGAACCAAAACAAGGCAAGAAGCGTGGAATTAAACAGAGATCTTTTGTCAGCTCATATCGTGCTCATGCCAAGGAAATTCTCGCCCTGACGCCGAGGGAAACTTACCACGCAACACGCCGTCTTGTTGATTTTCTGCCCTCCAGGACCGCTGCCGCGAACGAATTGCTCTTCCAAGTCGTCCTCGACAATCTCCGGTAGGTTCTTCGACGTCGAAGTGGAGATTTCGCGTTTTGGAGGTTTGGCAGCATCTCTGGATGCTGCACTATTACCTAGACCAATGCTTGTGCAGGCATAAACAAAGGGACGACGCGGGCGCCGTGGCGATGTTGCAGTATGCAGGGCGTTTGTAGAAGACAAGGCAGCGATGGGCGGCGAATATGCGCGGATAAACAGGGGGCTTAGACGCATTGGACGTGAGCGTAAGGCTCCTTGTAGAAGCAGCGAGTAAATGCGTGGCACAGACATTTCCTTCACGTACTTCAGGTCTCCAACCTAGATCTTTGAGCGCATATTGCACAATTGGGGGGTTGGACAGGAATGCACCCCCAATGTCCATGAACCAGATTGTCTGGTTTATGGACATTTCGGTTTTGTTATAATTTTAACGAGCTGCCCGGCATTTCGTCACAGTACAAGAGCCCCATCCACTGGAGCCGCCTCGTGCGGGAGACACCAAACCGGCACTATTCGGAGACGGCATTAATCTGTGAGTGCGTCATATCGATTTCCACGCCTTCCGTTTGTTTACAGATCTGACAGGTGGCGTTATTCGTGTTCCGGTTTTTAGGGATGCACTAATTGGAGGGTGGCAATAGCAAAGGCGACACTAATGCGCGTCCCCTCCCCTGTACACGTATGACATACAGTATTGGTTTACAGCATTGTGTTTTACAGTATTTGACATTGATCCGTTTTCGTTGCCTGGCACAGTACAGTACCAAGGGTAAACTTTACAGTGCTACTGTCCGTACCGGTGCGGCCGCCGCGACGACGTCTTTTAGCCCGTATATAAACAGCCAAGAACCGATCACCATCATCCTCCTTTGTTGCGAAATGTACATGTTGCACAGACCTTTGCATCAAATGTCAAATGGAGATATTCCGCTCGAAGCTTTCGTGATCAGACGCAGTGCGAAATTGAGAGGAATGTCACTGCATGTGGCTTGAACAAGACATGGCTTTCACACCAGTGTTGTCGATTGCACACGGCTGAAATGTATCTCCTGAACATTCATCAGATCTGAAACGTAAGAAACTTCTCCCTCAAAATGTGCGCCTTCTGCTATCGTCCCTGGCTGTGAAGAAACATCTTGATCACTCCACTCTTACTGAACCGAAGGTTCGATGGTGAGACCCATAGATATATACTTCGTTGTCTTTCTGAATTGCCACGGTTGCAAGCCACACATCATTTGACCTACAGGCGCTTTGACCTACAGGCGCTTTTGTTAGTCGCATCTTTGCTAACATTGATTGTGTCTACTATCCTTCCTTCTTACTGACGAAGGCCTCGCGGTAGGACATCGCCGTAGCTGTGGGCGATTGTTGCATAGCAGAACCTTAAAAGGTTGAAGAATCTCACTCGTGTCTCGTGCAGATCAGGAGTACGGACGGGGCGTTATTCTGGTTGAGGTACCCATGTCTGTAGCGATGGGAGTCTGCGGCAGCAGAGGCGCATCTTCTGGGAGGAGACTTCCCACTGTGGTCTTTCTCTTGGGTGTTCTGATCACGCCGGTAACCATAGGGTGATTGAAGAAGTAGCTCTTCGTGTCCGGGGCAATCGTTTCTCGAAGAGACCCGCGTGTCATCAAGCGCTGTTGTGGCACACAAATTATGCATGTAGTCTACAACCTCCGTACCCTCTGGGAGTAATTTACTAACGCAGTTTTCGGGCTTGGCCCGTGCAGTCCTGCCGCACAAGTAACCGTTTGGACCTAACCCGAGAAGGTTAACAACGCCCGCGTCGACGCTTTCAAGTTCAAGTGCAAGTTCGTAGCTAAGCTTCTGCCCTGGTGGCACTCTGCTCTGGTGGCATCGCATCACGGCCATCAGCTACATCCTTGATTGCCTCTTGCCGAGCGCACTGCTTGTAGTGTCTCCCACAATTAAAACAGGTCGCGACATTTGTTCTGTATTAGGTCCATTGGAAAGCAACGATTCCACAGCACATCTCCGATTGTACCAGTTATCTTTCCCATCCCCGCGCATGCCCTGCCGGCTTTTTTTTGCAAAAATACATGCATTAACGTTGTCCGTAAAGTCACGAAAACGCATGTTTTGCGCGAGTTTGCTCGGATTTTCTGAACGCAAAATTTTCAAACAACGCGTTTGGCAAAACTCACAGCATACCGAAAACTCGGGGCATGTGAGTTTTCCACGAGTTTCACATCCGTCGAATCACAGCAGTGCCGGATCGACCCGTCGTGAAGAAAAATGAAGTGGGTCTTCCGTTCTTTTCATCCGCACAAACGAGTCTCAGACTGCACGGGTCGTATCGCCGAAGCAACCGCGAAAGATAGACAAGTAGAAGCTTCTAAAAAGCAGTCCTCTCTAAACGGCCCCCCTCAGCCTGTCAAGAAGACGAAACATATCGCCCTTTCTACTGAGAACCTTTCTATCCTGGTGGCGAGCTACAATATTCGCTTCAGCGAGTATTCGCGCAGGTGCACGTCATCCGTCGGGTGGCACAACGATGTACCAGACTTCTGTTTGTTGTGAGCAGGTACCTCGCTGGAGGTCAGTCCGCAAACCTCGCGTTGGTATTTTTCAAACTCGGGGTTACTTGACGCCCAGCGAGTTTGTGGGCAAATGGAAAAAAACAACGCGTTATTTTACGGACAACGTTATTAATTCGATACTTTATAAAGTCAGTTTGGACACCATTTCTCTAACGTACATGCCTTCCGCAATAACATCTTGCAAAACATTGGGATAGCAGTTGCGAATACACAGAAAGACTAAGAATCTAATGAACTTCAATACCCAGTTGACATTTTATACAGGCGTTTCGGTTTCGAAGATATCAACAATAACGTTTTGAGAATAGTCAAAAAGGCGTCTCTTTTAGGCATTCTAAAAATGGCTGGAAAGGACGTGCAGATCTCACCAAACTCCATCCTTCCGCACCGCAGAAGTCAACTGCGGTGGCGAGAGTGTATTTTTCCATCTTGTTGGGCAAGCACAAGTTGAGGCAAAAGAAGTTGAAAAGTAGCCGCATATGAGGTCACATGTCGTCTAGACACTGTACTTGTGTCTAAATTGAACATCTAAAAAGCTATTTTAGACACTACAGTATTCCTTAACGCACTTGTTTTCGGCAATAACATCTTGTAGAACATCGCGATAGCAGTCTTGAATGCGCAGAAAGATTAAGAATGTAATGCAGATTGATTGCCTAGTTCCCTTTTCACCTGACGGTTTTGGTTTCGAAGTGACTTTACATGCGGTTTAAAGGTGGTTTAAGAAGCTTCTTTTCCAGACATATGTAAAAACGACCAGGAAGAACATGCAATTCCCACCAAGTTCTTTCTGGCCCCAAGTCAGACGTCAAGCACGGTGGCAGAGGTATTTTTTTCCTTCTTGTCGAGGAAGCGCAAGTCAAGAAAAAAAATAAGTCGAATAGTGTCCTCACAGGAGAACAACGGTTCGATAGACACTAGGGCACCCCATAAACACTTGCAAACGAGTCGCCTGAAGGTTCGTACCCAGGTTTAATTTCAACATGCCGCATGTGCGACGTGCCTCCCAAAATGCCTTACTGTCAGGCACCGTTTCTAACCTGTGTCTGATAGAGGTTCTGTCTTTTCATGCGTATGGCTTAACCAAAAATGTCAGACTGAGATAACCCGAGTTAAATTGAAAACGTCCCCGTCCTTGTCACTATCAAATGACAATGTCCTCCCGCCTGTGGAATCACGATTTCATGTCTTCCATAATAGACTCTCCCGATAAGGCCTCCATCACCTTCACAAATGAGCTAGTTTCTCTTCGGACAGCGTCCTTTTCGTCATCAATAAGCTCTGCTAGGACCGGCATGGCCTCTGGAAGAGTGACCAAATATTCTTCGCCGATTGTGCTGGCTAGACACTTGCAATAGTACATGGAAGCTTCACGCACCACAGCGTCAGTCCCGCCGGCAAGCGACAGTATGGCTCTTGACATGGCAATGAGCTGCTCTCGACATTCCTCCTTTGACTCCTTCATGTTCCCAACGGCCACTATTCTTGTTCCTAGTGCATTGACAGCCTTTCGGACCGCCTCCGATTTACCCCCGTTCCCGCATGCCACAACTAAGCTTGTCTGTATTTTTGTCACAAGGGTCGGCGTTAATATATTGCCGGTCAGATCCTCTCTCAGCAACAGGGTAAGGCTTTCCAAAGCCAAGCCATACAGCTCTCGATGCAACTGAGACGACACTTGTCGAACGGCATCCTCCCCTGAGCCTTCCCACTTTTCACGCTTTCTCTTCTTGCTCTTCAAGTCTTTCCTCTCGTCAGCATCAAGTTCTACGGTTACGTCCAAAGAGGATTTTGATGATGTAGAGCTCAAAACCTCCAGAACCAGGTCTAGCAGCTGTAGAAAATAGGGTACGAAAATTGCCCGAAGCACATGCATCAACTTGAGGGAAATTTGCAGAATTGGAACCGCTCTCGACAAATACTGAGGCATATCAATTGCGTTGGAACGGTCTGCACCACCCATCACGCGTCCTCCTTCGAGCCACTGTACTACGCGATTGAAGATGATCTTGAAGTCTGACTCCGAAAGTCTCAAAACCATTCGCGTAAAATTATCGGCACAGCCGTTATCCACTTTTTTGCAGGAAGACAAGAAACCTTCTGGTCCCCTGATTGCTACCAGCTCGTTAAACAGTTCTACAGTAGAGCACTTCCTTGCTGCACTTTGAGTATCCATTTCATTTTCTTGCACACTTGCTGGTGAAGTATTACCCAAGCGACCGTATTCAATGCACGATAACAAAGCCAACGTAAGGCGGTCCTTCTGAGGCTTGAGCTCCACCTTAGATATCACTCCAGTCAAGGCAGACATTCCCCGCAGCAATGTGGAAACCCCAGTCAATGTCGCCGAAAATTTGGCGAAATTAGCAGTCACATAGACCAGTGCGCCGACGCTCACATTTGCAGGAACTTTCGTCATCGCTTCTACGAGCAACACATTAATGTCCTCCCTTTCGACAGAGACTGCCAGCGAGGCTATACGGTTCAATGTAAGGCGACCGAAAAACTTAGGAGTCCTATCGAGGACAGTGGTACACATCCGCATCGCTGCCTCAGTAACACTCACCCTTAAATCTTTTTGAATGCGGGATGTCGCATTCCTTGTCTCTTTCCCAAACACAGCTTGTAGAATATCTGCTGCAGTACTGACCACCTCCGGGATGAAGGTCACTGCACGCTTTCCAATGACCGTCACTATCGAAGAAAGACAGTCCATCGCCACAGCAACGTCAGACTGCCACTGCCCATTGACTATCTCCTCGGGCTTGTCCAAGAACTTGCTACTTGCCCGAAGGACCTGCAGAGGAGTTGTGGAGAGCTGAAGAAGGACTTGCGGTGCCGAAGAGCCTATTCTATCTGCAATGTTCTGAATACAACTCAAGGAACACAACTTCAACTCTGCCCCCAATTCATTAATCTTCACATGATCCTTGTCTCCGAACTCTGATATTACAGCACTCAAAATTGAACCAAGCTCTTCTACAAATGCAGTTTGAGACGATTTCAAGTCGACGTAATCAGGCAACTTCTGATCATTTTCATGCCAGCCATACAGCAATGAGGCGTCGTCCAACATGCGTCCCGACAAAGTCTTGACCGCACGAATGCGGATTGCTACGTTTTCAGTTGAAATAATGTTGCCTAAGCATAAGCTTATAGCGCGTAACGGAAGAAATGAAACCAGTGCTGTAACAGGCCTGTCCGCGATATTTCTGTTCAATACCCACAAAGACTTCAACAAATTCGATATACCTTCAATAACGGAGGCATCGGACGTTGCTGATTGCACGGCTTCGGTAAGCTTCTTTCTGAACAGTGGTCCAACCACATGGACTAGGGCCAATTCACATCTTATGTCTGACCCCACCCTCGCAATCACTGACAAATCCATGATCAGACTCTGCTCAGCTCCCAGCAACAGCCGTGAGCACTCCCTTGCAATGCTTTTCACTTCGAGATAATCAGCAGATTCTTTGCAGATTTGCTGCAGACAGCAAAGCAGCGCTTCTTCCATATCTGGCATAAGTCGGCAGCAAGATACTATCAGTTCTCGATCTTCTTCAGAGGCCACAGTATTCCCGATCTTCTTGTACGCAGCTCTCACAAGAAAATTACATACCACTCTAGGGTCGCAGCCGCTCTTAAGCAAAACTGCAGCTAAACGATGAACGGATTTCAACTGCTTCGAGAAAGAAACATCCTCCATCTGTGCGCTCAACACATCGCAGAGCCGCGATGCTAGTTCATTGCCGCAGCGAGGGGCAAGCACCATCGCAACTTGCAATGCCTGGCACCTCACAGATCGCATTAGCGCGCTTTCGTTGCCCTCGTGAGATACATGCGGGTAGAAGACAGTCTTCATCAACGCATCCAAGTCGACTGCAGTATCCTGCATATTCCGCTCTCGTTCTCTGTGCAATATCTGTTCAATCAGATCCAACACATTGCAAAGCTGGTACTCGTTACGGTCCCCGGCATTGCGCATCAACGAGCTTTCTGAGGTAACTGCCCGAACGAAGGACCACAACGAAGAAAGCACAGACGTCACATCAAACTTGAAAGGCCTGTCTATCATCTTATCTGTCAATAACCACCGCTTGATAGTATCTACAGCCCCCATACCAGCTTCTTGATCCAATGTAGAAGGTCGAACTCCGTCATCGACCTGGACATCCATTGCGTCTGGTGCCCTTTCTTTGGTTCCAAGTCTTTGTAGAAAGGGTAGAAGATTGTTCAACTTATCATTCAAAACGGTACTATCTAGTGTTTGTCTGGCCACACTTCCAGCGGTAGATGCTCTTGTCGAAAATGATAACATATGCCTCAGTAGATCTTGGGTGATGTCCAGCTCTCTGCAGTTGCAAATTGAGAACAATTGCGAAAATCCAGCAATCACAGCTAAATTGACTTCTCCCGAAAGCAATGGACGTTTCTTGTCGAGAGCTTGGAGAAGTGAGGCGGTTTCTTCTGCAGCGTCGATGATGACCTCTCTTGATAATGAATGTGTCTTCATTGTCCCAAGGATTTGAGCGACACGTACCAATGATTCGCAGGTGACACTGCTTCGGTCAGTGTCTCCTAACAGTTTCGAAAGCAGGTTGATTTCCATTCGAAACAAACTTAATACTTCAGTTTCCTCGTATCCACTGTACCCTTCCAACGCACGAAGAAAATAAAGCCTTTGCAGAGGGTCGTACTCTTGATCAACAATTTTGCTAGATGCAAGGCGAATAACCGCTGATTTCTCCTCTAGCCCTTCTAAGGCGGCGAGAGGCGCAATGAAACCAAGACGAGATCTGTAGTTCAGTAAAGCTCCTGACAAAAAGTTGTCCAACTGTTCAAGTGTTGATTCAGAAGTCAAAGGGATTGCGACACTAGCATGGTAGTTCGCGATTGCGCAATAAAATGAGATCAGTGGTGACTTTGGTAGAGTGGAGTTGTGTACAGCTGCCTTAGCTGCGCAAAGCGCGAGTAGTTTGTCCCTTGCCTGATTATCATTCCCGTAAAGAGCGCCGAACAGGCACAACATCGCCTCTTGATTAACTTCGTTTGAAGAATCTGACTCGCACGATATCAAAAACCATTGAAGGCTGTAAAATTGGATGCGACCCCCGGATACTGAAGTAACTGCAGATGCCGATTGTAGCATATTTTTGACCTTGACAAACCCACAATAGCCATGAACTTTGGCCAAAACCTGTTGCGCAATCTTTTCATTCTCCAAACGTGCAGCCAGATTCCATATACGATCCACCACTCGAGACTGCGAGAATTGTGAGCCCAGTGCATCATGAATAGGTCCTATTGCATTGACAGCCTCTTCGAGAATCTTTGCCCTAATAGATTCGTGATCTTCGTAGAGCTTTACCAAGCTCTCGACTACCCCTGCTGCCCGAAATTCTGCAAATTTCTTCAGTGCTTTCTTGTCTCCCTGATGCACGCAGAAAGCGAGCAATTCTAACGCCCATGATGGATCCCATTCAGACATAGACTCCACAAGCGCGTCAAACTTGTAAGTCCTGCTCGCAATTTTCGATCGCAGGGCAGCCTCGACGACTTCTCGGAGCTGTCCGTCACCTAATTCCGCCGAATCCAAGCATCGAATTTCTGTCTCTTGGGACAATAAGGTTGCCAGGCGTTTGAAAGTCTCCTCATCATGACTAACAACTGAATTGTTGCTGAAGACACCGTCCCTGATCAACCCGATCAACATCGCTTGTACTTTAACCGGATCCGTGCCTGTATCTCGCTCACAACCAGTAAGAAGAGCGTTACAGAGAGCTATAAGCCCAGATATCCGAGATGGCTTCCTCTTTTTCTTCTTCCGAAGCAAGTTATAAGCGCTTCGAAGTCGGCTTAAGATGGACGGCAAAACATGTTCTGGTAGTGCTTCGGATTTGGCCTGTAACAAACACAACGCCGCATCGGCTGCTACGTGAGCGTCAGAATCACCCTTGAGAAGAATATTGCATCTACCGACGATGCTCTCGGTCACACTTGCTTCTTGCTCAGTCCACGAATAGTTGCTGTCTACTAGCTTCGCTAATGCCGTTTTCACCACGCTATGCTCCGGATGTGACATCATGGCAAGAATAGTGCCCCCCTTCGGAAGCGAACTTTTCTTCGCCGCGTCCTTCCCAACTGAAAACGCAGTGCCACTCAAAGCTTTTTCGATCCCCTCATCAACAAACGAATATTTTCTCTTGTCCGCTTTCCTCCTGCTGGCTAAGTGCTCTCGCAACGCAATATCCACACCGGGCGCAAAACGTCCCCTACTCAACGACGCGACGACGCCAGCGAAGGCCTCGAGCATCGCCTGTCGCTTCTCCGTCGTGACAGACTCCTCCTCAATTTCGGCATCCGCGCACGCTGCAAAGAGTCTAAGCAAAACTTTGTGCACCGTCTGCTCGCAAAGAAGCGAGACATTCTCGCTCGCAAACGCCTTCTGCAAAAGCCCCAGCATACGCACACTAGGCTTCGACACGATCCCCATTACGACAGCCGCATACGTCAATCTGGCGAGTTCCTCATCCCCCAGGCAGGACAAGACATCCGGCATTGCGCCACGTCTGAGGAGGCTTCTCGAAACGCCCTTCTCAACAGCGGATACTTTAGCTTTTGACACCAGCATAGCAAGACAAGCAACAGCCGTATCGCTAACTGGACTCCCAGTCTTCGCCATCTTGATTACCCCTGCAACAGCTTGCGCGGCAGCTTCAGCGATGTCGTTCTCAAGACCGGACGGAACTGCCGCAGCGACTGCCGACATCAGAGCGCAAAGCAAGTCGCTCCTGCTTTTGTCGTTCACTTTCAAGTTTACTGTCTTGTCAATGGCTTCGACAACTGCCAGGAACAAGGCGCGCTTCTCAATGGAGCCAGACGAACCGAGCCTCCGAATCAACAAGTTGGCCAAGAGCGAAGCCCCAGCCAAGGTATTAATCCCGTCTCCCACAGCCTCGACCACTGCTGCCACTGCGAGGCGGAGAACAAGCTGCGGGCAATCGCGCACCAGAAAGTCCAGTGAAGGGGGCTTCTTCTGCTTAACAACTGGGCGCAGCCACTCCCACTTGTGCCACTTTCCCTCTCTCAGCATGGAGGCCACCAGCTGCACAAACTGCGGCGTCTCATGAAACGGGAGCGCGGCGAGCATAAGCGCGTCCACCTCTCGCTCGGCGCCGAGTTGGGGCACGCGCAGCCCGTGGACCAGCCATGAGACGAGCTTCTGCGCCGGGCGCATGGGGAACACGGGGGCGAGATGCGCGGCGGCGGAGAGGACAGCGGCGGAGACAGGTTGGGCCTCCTCTGGCGGCAGAGTCGCGCGGTCCGGGTAGGGGGGAAGGAGGAGAAGAGAAGAGGCAAGGGTGGGGAGCGTTGCGTCGATGGTGGAGAGTGTCTCCAGCCCGTTGAGAGCAAGCCCCGCCATGTCGCGGCGGGGTTGGGGCAGCGGCGGTGGTCGCAGCATGGTGGAGGAGGTCGAGGCTCGCAGACGCGCGAGAGAAGCATGGACAGACATGTTTGGAGAGGTGGGGAGGGTTTGGTTACCAGTGATGGTGGTATGGAGAGGTTTCCTGTGGCGTTAAAGATGGACGACGTGCTGGGATGCTCTGGTCGAGGAAACCGCCCTTCCTCCCTCCCGTGCTTCAGGGTGAGGAGGGATCAAACGATTTCAGGACGACAAGCACGGGATTTGCTTACGCCGCCGCCGATGGAAAATACTGCAGAGACCCGCTCCAGCAATGCAACCACTTGAGGTATGATAAGAAGTCTCCTGTGCAGTGGACACGTGGACAGGTTGACCATTCGTTTTCCCGGCCTTAGAGCACCCCTATCGGTTTGGCTAAATTTGGTGGCTAAGAGCATCTCTACCGCGAGTCTATTCTCTAATCTAATGCCAAATTTTCAGCCGCAGAAAAAAAACGACACTCTACCGCATGTTTCTAATCTATTCGAATACATTTCTCAATAGATTAGAGCTCGATCTGGGTCTATTCGACCACCCATTAGACCCAGATCGTGCTCTAATCTATTGAATAGAGGTGACAGGAAAGGCCTCTGGATTGGCTACCGGTGTAGCTGTACTTGCCAAGTGAGTATTCCCGGGAAATTGAACTTCAATGCAAACCCAAACACCCCCAAATGGCATCGTCGCACAACGTTTCCCTCTCTCCGGTGCCTCTGCTCTGTTCTGTCTGCTCTGTCCGGTATAGGGCGCGGAAAGAACTGGGATGCGGGGAGAATTGCGTTCTCGCTCGTGCATGGATTGCGGCGTCCGAAGACCCGATGGCTGGCATCGACCAGGCAAGAAAAATCTTCCAAGACACTATCCGCCGCCGCTTCACGGAGAAAGGTCCTGCACTGCACCTCGTTCCGGACGGAAATTACGGTACCCGAAGCGGGGCGAGCATCAAGCAGCATTTCAGCGATATGTCAGCTGATGTCCAGAAGTTCTTCGTCTCCCTCGGCAAGGTGCGCGCTTGCAATCCCACTGGGGTTGGTGACGAAGAGGTGCTTTCAATGTCAGTCGCAGTCCATCTGGAGCACACTAACAAGATGGACTACGACTACAAAAACTTTGACAAAGATCAATGGCTCTACTACAAGGCTTGGAAAGTACTCCGTAACCATCCGAAGTGGTCCTGCGCACCTTCTTCAGCCAGCCCTATTACTGCGACGCAAGAACTGCTACCGGACATGAGCCAACTGGCTTCAAGCGGAGGGCATTCAACGCAAGATATTGAAGCGCACGAGACCGTCACGCCCACGAAAAATAAGGAGCGGTTCGGTCTGGGCGCCCGTGGTGCTAAAATGGCACGTGAGGAGGAGTTGAGGACACAGGCGTTGCGCGTTCTTGCAGAGTCGGCGAAGCGGGAGTCGGACGTGCTCGAAGAGCGTAATGCGATTGCAGCATTTTCTCGACCAGAAGCTGCTAGCCTTCCCGAGACGGCACAGTTCTTCTCCGCGAGCCGAGAAATTTATCTTGCGCAGGCACTCAAGCGAGCCAAGGTCGCACAAGCGGAAGTTTGTGCATTGGAGCGGCAGTCGACAAATAATGGGAGCGACTTAAGAAGACCGTCACAGGCGCCACCCGGAGCCTCTACGCAGCGCGTTGACGTCCCTGTAGTACCAGAGCTTGCGACCATGCAGGGTGCAGCAGTGCTTCTGGAGGAGGCCTGAGGGGAAAGAACGTGCTGGGCGCTGCAAAAATCCCTTTGAATGGCAGTTCCTGGTACATCCAATATGTCGTCCGTATCTGTGCGAATATACATCATAAAGATAAAGATGATACCTTTCATCCCCGGCAATCACACATACATACAGTATCCCCTATTCAAAAGCAGTCGTCATTGAGGCTTTCATCATTGCTTTGCTGTGTGTCGTCGCGCTTTCCCTAAAACATATCTTTCATGAAAAGGCGACTTTTAAGAAGTGGTCCCTCATGACCATGGTCGTTGTCGCCCTTATTGACGTGGCAGTACAATGGACAGGAGGTGGCGTGAACCATGCCATGTCATTTGCCCTTGCCGCACTTGAAGGCCATTAGGCCGAGCATTCTTTGTACTGGGTCGGACCGATGGTTAGTGCAGTGGTTGCAGCTTGCATGCACAACAATATTTTGAAAACTGGAAAGCGAGGCTTCCTCGACACCGCTAAGGAGCCCCCACCAGAGCACGCCCCGCCGAAAGAGACCAACCTTGCCCCGCTTTTGCCTTCGTCTCCTTCGCCGCATCCACCCCGCCGCACCCCGTCCCCGTCCCCGCCCCCGCCCGCGCCGCCGCCCCCGCTCTCGCATGACCAACATTGTGAGGGGGAGCCCCACCCGCCGCGCACAGAGAGGAAGCGCCCGCGCTTTGAGCGCCACGAGTCGCATCGGGACGCCGACTTTCATCCCTCCGATGGCCATCTGAGGGAGCACCCCGCCTTGTCCGTCGAGGGCGCGTACAGGGGTGATGGGCTGCATCGCCATGCCGTCTGCGATTTTTTACACGCTTTTACCCCGATCGCGTCGTAGAGGTAGCACAAATCTGTTTTGTCGTCACCTTTGAGGGGGACGAACAGGGGCGAGATGCGAGGCTAGACCACAGACGAGGCGTGAGCTATGAACGACGACGAGACATGTGTTATGAGCGGAGGCGAGACGTGAGCCTTCAAGGGAGGCGGGATATATGTCGTGAACGACGTGTGGGTGTTGAGGGGCAGGCGGGGTCGAGCCCCAGGGGTAGAAAGGTGGAGGAGGGGCGGAAGAATGATGGACAGGACTCGAGGAGGCCATTGGGCGGGAACAGTACACAGGGGTGGGGGGAATGCCGAGGAGGGTGGAAGGGATGAGTATGTGGCTGTTCACACGCCGGGAGTGCCCCCCAGACCCCGATGCTTTCACACATATGCACACAGCAGATTGGTAAAAACAAGAGCATTATTGATGCCCAAACACCTCATCGCCCCTAGACGGAGCCGTGAGCGTTCCATATATGCTCAATGAGGTCGCGTTTCAAGGAGAAGTGGTCCACTTTACTTGTTATGCGCGAATGACGTGACGATACCATGCTAGCCCACATTCCCGTCGGCAACTCACTGCCAAGAAGGTACCGAGTTGCCGACTCGGATTCCCACGTGAATGACTGACCTGCAGCGATCATAGCACGCGCCTCACTGAAGTGCTACAGTGACGCCATGCCACTTTGGTAGTTATCTCTTCGACTCTCCACAATCATATTGTGGAGAATAATGCACGCCACCATGACATTCGATACATCACTTCTCTTCCAAAGTCTTGAAGGGTTCTGTAGGATATGAAACCGAGCGACAAGCACCCCAAACGCGCGTTCGATGTCCTTCCGTATCGTCTTTTGAGCCTTTGCGAATGCTTCCTCCTTTCTTTCCGTGTTGTCTTTTATTGTCTTCATAAAAATTGCCCAGCTTGGGTAGATACCATCGGCAAGGTAGTACGGCATCGTTCGTTGTTTTTTATTTAACGTGTAAGGAATGGAGGCCGGAAACTCACCAGCGATGATGCGCTCCATCGTTGGTGATCGGTCCAAAACGTTGATGTCGTTCAAGCTTCCAGGGCTACCAAAGAAGGCATGCCAAATCCACAACTCCCCGTCACAAATTGCCTCCAGAACGATAGTCGGCTTCCTCTCCTTTCCTTTGAATTGTCCAGCCCAATCTATCGGACAATTTTTCCATTGCCAATGCTGACAATCAATACTACCCGCACACCCCGGAAACCCCCTGGCAGCATTTATTGCCAGTATGCGCCGTAGGTCCGCCTCATTGGGCTCGCGTAGGTACTCTATTCCAAACTTCTGTATCACAGTAGAACAAAAGGACTTCAGTGACTGCAACACTGAGTCTTCAGACATACTCAGATACTCGTCTAAAGAGTCAGCCGCTGCTCCATACGCCAGCATGCGAATTGCGGCAACCATCCGCTGTAGGGGATGAATTCCTCCACGGTTCAGCGCATCCTTTCTTCTGACAAACAATCCTTCGCCCTCAATCGCCCTGTACAGCCTGTTGAACACTGTGTGCGGCATTCTGAAACGCCTGTCAAATGACGCATCGCAATAAAGTGGCGTGGTTGAAAAGTAGTCTCGCTTGAGGCGGTTGAGTGCGGCATCGAAGTCGCGATTGAGATTTCCTCTTTTCCCGCTCCTGGATCCTAGTCTAATGAGAGAAGGAATTGTACCTGGAAAACCAGGCAGTGTCCCAGAGGCGACGAGGTAGGACAGGTTCTCGTCGTCACTGGAGTCAGGAGAATAAGTCGGCGGAGGGGAGTCGTAGTTGCGAGAAGTTGCCATGGTAATAAAAAGGGTTGAACGGGATGAGCGCAGCAGTGCTGGAAGGATATGTACTGCGCGGTAGAGTTGCGCCGCGGCTCTATTCCAGAAAATCTATTCATCAGTAGAGCAATAGAGTTACCCATTAAAAAGTAAGCACTTGGCGAGATATTTTGATTAGAGAGGCAAATACGGTCATGCGGTAGAGATGCTCTAAATGTGTAAAATTTTGCGTTTGCATATAGCATTTCTGTGCGCAACACTATCGGTTTAGCAGAAAATTTGAATTTAAGTGCCCTGATAGGGCATAGTGTACGAAGGGTGCGGGGCATCGAGGACGAGAGGTACTGTATTGACACTGTCCTATGGTCTTTTGGCCAAGTGGCGCCATGTAATTCGCGTCTCTACTCTCTGGACTATATTTGCTCTTAACCTCCGCTCTCGCTCTACCTCCTTCTCTCTGGTGCTTCCGGTGTCTCTATCGCTCCATATACATCACTATCTAGGAGAACAGCATGTCGCTCCTGCATTCAATTACCATTCTCGCTTACAATGGTCCACAATGCAATTGTCGGCTTTTCGCTACAGCTCGTAGACGTGAATTAAAACCCCATGCATGGCGATTGCTTTGCACCCTTCGGTCCTTTGCGCCCCTTGCCTCGATTAATCAATTCGTACCTCATGCATCCAACTACTTTTGTAGTTTATTGTAAATTGACTTTTTCCCAACATCAATGTTGTCAAAAACACGGAACAACAAACGTCGTCGGAACTTCATTTTAACTGCAGCAATTATTCCCGCGTCTAGAGGCTGAATTCGACTTGTAGTGTTCGGAGGGAGAAAACAAACCTCTACATTTTGTAGATCCGGGAGAGAGTCCTCTGTTCCGTGTGCAGAACAGTTATCTAAAAACAAAAGTATCTTCCGCCCGGCCGTCCTACCAACGTAGCGATCCAGCCGCCCCAGCCAGCCAAAAAATAACACTTTTGTCATCCACGCCTTCTTGTTGGCGTGGTAATCGAAACCAAGTTCATGGCCATACTTTCCTAAAAAAGGACGAGGATGCAGGGCGTTTCCAATTATCATAAGTCGAAATCGTTCCGTTCCATCCGCGTTACAGCATGCCAGAAACGAGATTCTGGTCTTGTCTTTTTTGAAACCAGCGGCAGGTTTCCGCGACAAAGACCATCCCGGCGGTTGACGATAAAAAAGACCAAACTCGTCAGCGTTCTAGACATTTTTAGGACCGTACTCAGCCACCTTTGCCACAATTGATGGCATTGTGGCAGTGATCGCAGACTCATCCGCACTCAACGCCTCCCCATGCACACGTCGAAATTTGATGTTGTTTCGCTTCTGGAAACGACTAAGCCATCCATTCGAGAACTTCAAGGAAAGCTGTTGATCGAGCGGTAGGTGTTTGTTGGCTTCGCGCTGCAGTATCTCTGCTTGATGTCGCGAAATTATGCCATTAATTTGAATACCACTGGTAGACTTTTCACACAACCAGTGGTACAGCGCGCTTTCAAGACGAGGGGATGCTGGAACGCGGCGATTTTTGAACAATGAACGGGCACCGGGGGGAATGGCAGAATATGTCGACTTTGTCGGTAGAAGCCGAGAAATTGTGGCTTGGTTTGGGGCTTTGTCAAGCGTAAAGCTCTCTTTAGCCCAATCTGCGAGGTCCTTCTGGGTCATGGGCTCTTTTCGTTCGCATCGACGATGGTGCCCATCAATAATGAGCTGTGTTTGGCGCACGGTAAGTGCGTGGCTCACTTTGGGTGTCCGAGGGGAATGGCACGAGGATAGTGTTGGAACGATGCTCGAAGAGAGGCACAGAGAGGATCGCCGATCTGTGGATGTCAGATGTGAAACTGTTGGCTAACCAACTTCAGACTTGGCATTTTACATCTCAGGAATGTGATATATGCGGGGGAAAATTATCTAAAATATATCTGAAAATCATGCTGCCGCTGGGATTGTGTATGCATGTATGGAGTATGCAGTATATTGGCCATTCCAGGTACATGGCGCCCCTTTTTCATGGTAAATGACATTTGTATGCAACTTTCGAGGATATGCGGACAGGGGGGTCTGCATAAAGCGGGGGAACACTGTATACAAATGAAGATATTCGTAGTTTTACGATGGTTGATGGTCAGTGGGACATCAGCTATGATAAATCGTAATCCTCATGGTTCTGTCTTTACTCGTCGTCGCCGTCTCGTGGGTCTAAGTACCGCGTGTGACAGACTGTAATGCGGACAGTCTGTCCTTGCGGTCCGTCAAGCTAAACAGGATCCAACATGCTACAGTAACGCTACAGTAGAACAGGACGAATCAAACATTAAAAAGGACGAAAGATTCAAAAGGAAAACAAAGAAAGGTACAGGACTGGATAAGTGCCAGGTAGAACGGCCCTGAATAGCGATTCAAATGCGTGTGCGTGTCCTGTGTTGCTGTAGCTCTCCATCTTTTCCACACTGTACATCAGTGATGTCCAGGTCGTCTTACAGTACATGTGATTGGCGGTTTGGTGCAAACCTTTTTTTGTCACCATTTGAGGTATCCTCCACAAGAGATAGATCTCGTCCATCACACCGTGGCCACAACCTAGAAACGATCTACGAGGCGATGTTAACAAAGCAAGCGAGCCTAACGGCGCAGACGTCATCAACGACACGAGAGACTGCACAAATAGTTTATAAAGCTATACGCAGTTTGTCTCTACGTGTGGTGTCACTCATTAAAACTACACGCAGTTCGAGCTTCACGATTCTAACCATCACACACGGACGCCAAATACCGCACGGCACCTTGAACTATAATCCAGTAAATCGTCTACTACAGTATTGCTGCCCAGGCCTCAACCTAAAATCTCTACAACGAGAAGTTCACCCTTGTCACGACGGTATCCTTCGGTGCATTGCTGAGCCCAGTCCTGAAGACGACAACTTCACCGTCAACGATGACGCGAAGTCGGTACCTCGTGCGTCCGTCACCGCAGTTGTTGAAGTGCTTGATGGTGGCAGTGTAGTCGCCAGACATGAGTTCGTCCTCTTGTCTGTAGAGAACAGCTTCCTTACCCGCGGGGATCATAATGTTACAAGCGCCGACGTTGTTATCATTGTTTAATTCTCCAACACCAGCATCCGGGGCGTCGCGGCTGACCACAGTGCCGTTCGGCTCAGTGACCTCCAGGTCAAAATCATCGGCAGAATCCCAGGAAAGCTCGATCAAGACCATGGGATTTCTGGTCCTGAAGGAAACACAATCCTTCCGGCCTCCACCGCTAACACGAGTGATGGATTCATCCTTTTCAAACTCGCCGTACGACGTGATCGGGAGGACGACACACAAGTCATCCAAGAACTCCTGCTGGTTGCCCCTGGTTCTGAGGCGTCCCATGCCCTGTTCTTCAGGGACGAACTGGAGGGGGAAGAGCCTGAAGAAGCGCTTGGGGAAGCTGGTGTCAAGACCTGCCGGAGAGAACTGAGAGATAGGTACCATGTTGGGGTCCTTTCCTTGGGCAACCATGGCCTGGCCTGAGCGCAGGTCGGTGACGTTGCTACCGGGCAGGCAGATGACACCAGAGAGGGAAGTGAACGGAGCACGGAGGAAGGTGCGAGCGCCTTTGCCCCGGAGAGACATGTCGCTGAGACGGCAGAAGCGGAATCGGCAGGTCTTGCCACATTGGGCAGAGGCGGTGAGGGCGAGGGCTGCGCAGAAGAGCGCAAAGGTGATCATTCGGGATGCCATTGTGAGTTGTGAGGTTGTTGCGTTTGTTGCTAGTGATGGAAAGATGGAGGGTGGATGAAGAGAGCGACGGGAGAGAGAGAGGGAATGAGATTTAAATAGAGTTTGGGATCAGCAGATTTGAGAGGAGAACGGGTATGCGGAGGGCGTTTGGGTACTGATTTCTGTGGGTATAGAATTGGAAGGCCGCCGGAGGGATTTGTGCAGTTTGGCTAGTTCAGCCATCAAAGCGGAGAGCGCGAATGCAAGGCGCGGGGCAGATTCAAACGTCTAGAAATTCTTACGCTATCTAAAGTGACTGTCGTACGTACAGTGGGCCATGAGGTGGGTGGAAGGGTTGCAGTATCAAGGTTGCGGAAGCTGGATTTGTGTGCATTCGCGGCGACACTCTAGAAGGCACCTTGTCAGCGGTGGTTACACAAAAATGTGAGCTATCTATTTAGATTTCAATTCTCATGCCATGCACTGTGAAAGACATGAGTAAGCCTGACACCTGCCAAAACCGATCGCCATAAGGGGCGGTAGTTATGTCGCGGTGTGCACAGCCGGCCGGAAGTTCCCTGCTCGGCTTCCTAAAGATAGTAGATGCGCGACTCTCTTGTGTGTCGGTATATCAACCTTTGGGATGCATACACAGCCCTCTCGATCCATGAAACTTCCCCTGGGTGCGTGATCCGGTGGCGAGAGCCCCTTCTTAGCAAGCTGACGAGCGCCAGATTTCGACTCTCCTCATGTCTTCGGACGGAAATACCCAACTTTTAGACAGGCGCAAGGCACAATCTGCAACATGGCAGAAGTCGTCCGTCTGAAAACCTCGCATCCGCAAATTTCTATGCCTTTGAGGTATCGCGTATACTGAGAGAAAAACGACACAGTAAACTTTACTTGCTTTTCATGAATATGATGTGCTGCTTGAACCAGTATACAGGCTCAGGGAGTAGGATGGGGATCTGGAGGAGGAGCTGCTATCTTCCTTCATTAGGAGCTACTTGCCTCCTCCCGGAGGAGGCATCAATGCATTGTGTACAGTATACAGTAAATCCACCTGACAGTGACATGTGTCACCGACATCTCAAAGCCTTCTTCAACCATTGACATGTACCTCAACCATTTTTTTGCATAATACCTTTTAGCATGAAAGAAGCGGTAGATAGTGGCAGTGCGGCTCCCCCTCTCCACCAAAATGTCGTTGTGAATTAGCCTATTGTCTTGCGCGAAGTATCCCTGCGGACAGTCCCTAGAGGACCACTCATTCCGCTCGATGCATACAAGACATCGAGTTCGGCGCAAAGGGCAACCCGATTACAAAGTTTTGTAGTGCATGATGGTTGTCGTCACTTTGGAACAAGTGTTTCCATGAACTTATTCTGTGCCGGAAGGGTACAAGCCAATCCATGTTCCAGCGCTTTCTCTCTCTGTCTGCATACTCGTGCACATCCTGAATTCGAAGTTATAAAACTCATATTTACAAAATACGTACTGTGTCGTCGAAAGGGGGCCTTGTGCTTCGCGTGCACTGCTCTCTGTACGATCAGGGAGCGGGATTGGCGCGCGGGGAAAAGGAGAGAAAGGATAGTATGAGAAGGGAAGTAGAGGGGGGGGGGGTGAGTGATCCGGCGTTGCGCCTTCAGGGGTGAGAACGGGCTCCGGCTTGTGCCTTCGCAGACTAGAGTAGCGTAGAGTTGCTTGCTCGAGTTGTTTATTGTTCTACCTCTTGGCGTGGGGAGCGCGGACGTGGGCGTAGTACATATAGGTCCATGTAAGCTTGCCGTCTGCGGGGACGGTAAGCTTACAGCCCATGTTCTGTAAGCACGCGGGATATCAATATCCAAAAAGGTGCATGCACCTTTTTGTGCGGTGTTATCATATCAAATACGCCGTACAGTATATATGCGCGTGCGCGACATACTGCAAAGGTGGTTCTCTAAACACATTACTGCACGTCATGAGGCCGATAATAGCAGACTCAGTACTGTCAAATGGGTGAGCTGGCGCCTCATCTGGGGTTGGCGAGCTTACCTTGCAGAGGTGCAGTAGAATCTGCGAGAGGCGTCGAAACTGCAGACATAAGGCAGAACAACGCTTACAAACAGTGTTCTTCGCCATTCGATTTTTCGATTTAATCATTCTGACTGTATTCGTGTCGTCATTGCTTTTGCCACCTTGGGTGGCATCTATGCTGTACAGTATTGTACTTCTCCGTGGAAGTTTTCCAACATGACACTCTGACAAAGCAAAAACGTTCGAAGGCGATGATGTTGAAATATGTTGACACCAACATTTTTTCAGGAATAAGCCCATTTCTTGCTGAAATTGTTTGAGTTGATGTACAGTAATTCATATTCTTACCCATGTCTAGACTAGTAATTTCTAGTATGTATCTAATATTATGATATCGCAAGTCGACAAAGCGAGAACTGGGTCTCGGCAGTTGTCTAATTCATAGCCGTGAGGGTACGATACATCTCTCCGATACTCTAATTCTTGACGGTGCAATCTTCTGCAACCCCTTTCCGTCAATTTCCTGGTTTTGTGTACAATATTTGGAAATCCAGATGTACATGGCCGAAGTTCAGTCATTCAATTGCAACTCCTTACGAATTCCACTTAATTCTTTTGTCAAAGCCAGCAGCATGTGAGATCTTGCCAGCTTAACTGACGTAAGACAAAAAAATCAAAGCCTACAACCCTTCGAGTCTTCTTTCTCTATTCCTGTCTCATCTGCACCAATTCGCTGGGCAGTCTACTGCTCCACAAACCTTTCACTTTTCTTACAAAATGCATGCGCGTTACGGATTTTTTGTACCGATCCCTGCCCCAGCAATAACGGAACAGCGCATCGAGGAAACAAAGTGAATCCACTGGGCGTAGCAACTTTCTTTTTCACAGGGACTGAGAGAAAAGCGTACTGTCAGCGCAGATGTGAAAATCTGAAAGGGAAAGAGAGAGCGGAAACCTCCTCTGAGAAAACCTTGCATAAGAACGGTACGTGAAGGCTGTTTTGCAGTTGTATTTACGCAGTTGGCAATCCCCTTGCGGGTCTTCTTACTTCTGAAAGTTTCTGACGGTAACATGAGATCTGGGAAAAGTGCAGCGGGAGTAATGTCGTACACACACACTTACGTTCCTGCTCGCCCTCTTTTAGCTCGAATTAGTGAACCTATGGCACTATGATTTCATATCCCTGACCATGCTATTTCACAGAAATGCACATGATAATGAAAAAAATAGCATGGTCATGTATTGCGTTGAGCCCAGTTCATTCGGCAGGAATGGTGAAGTTCTATCCCGTCAACTTCCCACTATTGTTGGAGCAGTGAACGGGCCTCACGGCAGCATGAAGTTGTTCTGTGCAAATAGCAATCCTTTCTGACCATAAATGTTTTATTTTCTACCAGAAATAAATCTGACTTTCTACCAGAAATAAATCTGACTTTCTGTATAGTACACACATGACATTCGCGGAATATTCTTGAAGTCCTACATCCAATGTAGTGGGAACCAGGAATTCGGAAAACATATCTGGGAAGAAAGACGGGTGTCGTATTTTTCGATGGTGGGCATGCCGAGATAAGGTTTCTTATTTGTGACATGCATGTCTCCTAAGGGCAACGGTCTGTAACAACGTTGTGATACCAGAAATGGAATATACTCCTTGACGAAATGCATGATCTCAAAATGTCATCCAATCGTTGCAAGGGATAGTCTTTTGTCTGAGTACTCGACCAGTCCTAAGATTATTGTTGACTTGTCACCATGTAAGAGCAACCATAAATTCCTGAAATGCAGCTTCTGTTTTTGAGACTTTGAAAGAAATCTCAATTTGAACTTCAAGAAGTGAGGGCAGAGATAGAGCAAACACCGGTATGTTTCCAGATACCTGGATTAGTTTGCCTTTGGGTTATCTCTGCATCGTGGATTTGGTTTGTTGTCATTCCTCCTATCCATGATTCCCAAGAGGATTATTTTTATGTTATTTGACAAATCATAGGATAGAAATGACCTCAAGAATGCATTTAGTAGGCCTGACAAAGAGGCTCTCAGTCTTCCTACTAGCACACTGCGAATTAATCAGATTTCTGTGGTTGCAATGTAAGAGCGACATATGAGAGAACATGTCCAACGCCATGAATTGGGCCTCTCATAGTTCTATGACGTTCATCAGTCTTAAATACACGACTACCATCATCGTAGATTTTGCTTTGTCCTGTTTGTTTGTTTTCTCAGGAGGATCCACGGTAAAGGTCCCGAACGCACTTCATAGATTTAATAAACGCTCTGTATGTAAAAATAGATATAAAGATGGATGATTTCCACTGTACCCGTTCCCTCTCCTCATATGTTCGCGTCCCCTCTATGTCTTTTACATTTCAGATATATCGCGCGGGACGGCCCGGGCGGGAGGGGGAGGGGAATGACCTTCTAAAATACCCGGCCACCACCCGGAGGAATCCAAGTGTTACTGGATAAACGGGATTTTGCCCTTGCTTCTTGTCTTCATTGACACAGCTAGGTATGTGGACCAAGGTAGTGGGACGAGGAAAGGTGCATATGCTTTGTACTTAGCGCCTTGGCACGCTATTGACGGCTGTGACAATGCAAAGGGAGGCGGTAGTTAGTTGCTTCTGCAGACCGGGAGACAAACAGAAAGGCGCTTCAGAGTTCCAGTGGTCAAACCTCCCTGAACGTACTGCCCTCAAAACGAGCGTATCCCAATCGCACTATGTGCAGCGTCGTATCAAATTATCATGTCGTAACGTTGTTCGGCCATGACCTGTTACAACTTGGTCAAAGTCTTCTGGTATATAAAGCTGCCGTATTATTAGAAGTATGTTGATGCTGTGCCACTGTCCATTCCAAAAGCTGTTATAGAATTGAGGTGATTCAGAGTAAGTACGAGCACATGGCTTGTTCCAAAAGAAGAATATCGGGAAATGTATCTTTCTGAAGTGAAACAGGGAATTTGAGGCAAGGGGCAAATCTGTTGCGGAATGCTTCTAGAC